TCTCAAATTTGATCAAATTTCTCCAACACAGATTCTATAGTTATTGACCTGTTAATGCTGACAGTCAGAATGCAGTTATTAATAACACAAATAAAGGATGTGTAAACAAATAACTTAGTATATGATTTACTTTAAGTCAATTACTCAATTATCAATGTAACTTTATATTCTATAGCTCTCATATACTATCTATATCTATATATGAAATGAAATATTGTTGAACGTTGAACACTCACCAGAAAACATCGCCACCTAGGAACGATCTTCTGGAGATCCATTCAGGAACCAGATTTACAAGCTGCTCCAACAGCTCTTCCACTTCTCCTAGGGAGAGCTCGAGTTAAATTTAAATAAGTTTGATTATAGCAACTTATTATAAACCGATGCATACTGCTCTCTGTGATGTCAAGACATCGAGACAATATCTTGTGCATCAGCTCCTCCTTGGTGATGAAGGGGCAATTTATAGATCGGAAAATATGGTAAACACAGTGAACACGCTGAGACAAGGAGGTGTTAAACTGCTCTGTAACATCACTGTGAAAGAACATACTCAAACTGTTAACATTATTGTTGTCAGAGAAACTAAAATCGAAAACAAATCGTAGAGGCTACTCACATTTCTTCCTGTTCTGGTTGATTCTTCAAAACTTCTTGACCAGAGTTCTGAAGAAGATCACTGAAAGAAGAAAAAGGAAAAAAAAAATTTGACAGATCCATTCTGAGGTTTAGTTCCTCCTATGGTCACAAAATTTCTATAAAAGAAAAATCATAGAAGATATACTCACGTTTCTTCGTGTTCACAGTTCTGATTCTGAAGATCACTGACAGGAAAAGACAGAACAACAAATCACACGATTTCTGTAAAAGAAAATCGTGTAAAATATACTCACGTTTCTTCTTCCTGTTCAAATTCTAGTCGATTGTTCACAACTTCTTGACCTGAGTTCTGATTCTGAAAGAGAACGCTGACAAATAAAAAGTAAAAGACATGACAACAATGTTGCGAGGTTTAATTCCTTTATTTTCTAGAAAATTGTAGAAGATATACTGACATTTCTTCCTCTTTGACTTCTGGTTGATTCTTCACACCTCCTGGACCTGAGTTCTTAAGATAACTGATAAAAACAAACAATGTTACGAGGTTTAGTTCCTTGAATTTTTAGAAAATTATAGAAGATGTACTCACATATCTTCCTGTTCAACTTCTGGTTGATTCTTCACAACTCCTCCACCTGAGTTCTTAAGAAGATCACTGACAAAAAAACAAAAAAACAAAAAAGGAAAAAAAATGTCACGAGGTTTACTTCCTTAGTTTTCTAGAAAACTTTAGAAGATTGTACTCACATTTCTTCCTGTTCAGCTTCTGCTTGATTCTTCACAACTCCTGGACCTGAGTTCTTAAGATCACTGACAAAAACAAACAATGTTACGAGGTTTGGTTCCTTAATTTTTTAGAAAATTATAGAAGATGTACTCACATATCTTCCTGTTCGACTTCTGGTTGATTCTTCACAACTCCTCCACATGAGTTCTTAATAAGATCACTGACACCAAAAAAAAAAAAATGTCACGAGGTTTAGTTCCTTAATTTTCTATAAAACTTTAAAAGATTGTACTCACATTTCTTCATGTTCAACTTCTGGTTGATTCTTCACAACTCCTGGACCTGAGTTCTTAAGAAGATCACTGACAAAAAAACAACAAAGAAAAATAAACAATGTTACGAGGTTTAGTTCCTTAATTTGCTATAAAATTATAGAAGATATACTTACATTTCTTCCTGTTCGACTTCTGCTTCATTCTTCACAACTCCTCGATCTGAGCTCTTCAGAAGATCACTGACAAAAAATAAAAAGACAGAACAACCATTGAGAACAAAATATAATTACAAGCAGTGTTGTTAAAAACGCACATCGCATCCTACGATTCAGAACGAAACGAAGGCAAAACGATTCAATCGCAAATTTCATGTATCCTACGTTTCCAATGATGGAACCGTAAAAAATGGAACGAACAGGTTGGACATAAAAACAGGTTGGACATAAAAAACAAACAGAAAACTAGGGAGGGCGTTTTCACTAGCCTGATCGTGGCCATGACACGCTGAAAGAAGAATAAGAAAGATGAAGAAGAAGAATGGGCGACAGAGCCCCTCTCTTAGTTTTTATAGCAGTACATTGGCCTTTAAAAGCCAATTTGATGGACTCTGGTCTGGGCTGGGCTGGTCTTCAAGAAAATGAGTTGCTTTCTCTCCCAATTGGGCTAGCGGCAAAAATTGACAATATAAATAGAGATAATATCTGGTAAGTGCTATTTTTAAATCTTAATTTCATAAATTTCAAAATTTGAACTCTTAGATATTTTTACGTAGGATTTTATGTTAATGCCGTTTCTACCTTATTTTTTATTTTATTATAATTTTTTAATTTAAAATATTTGAATCCTTAATTTGTAATTATATTCATTTAATTATTATAGACCTCATCCAATTTTTCGACCTTAATTTCTCAAATCTCTGTTTGAAAGATTTTTTCCTCCCAGCAATTAACAACTTTCAATTTTGTTAAATCAAGTTTTGAATATTTCCGCTTAATCCGTCGTTTGCTGTCGTCTCTAACCACTGTTTTTTTGTTTCCCGTCATTGTCGACGACCAGACCTTCAATTTCCATCTTCAGGGCTTCCATCAACGAGGTATTTATTCGTTCTTCCCCAGAGAGACCTTCAATTTCCGTCGTTGAATAAAGTTTCTGTCGACGTCTTTGCACGTTTCTGACGTCGTGCAGTGTGCTTCCGTCAACGAGGTATTGATTCCTTCTTCCCCATAGACGTCCAGACCTTCAATTTTCGTTGCTGAATAAACTTTCCATCGACGTATTTGCATGTTTCCTACACCGTGCAGCGCGTTCCTCGTCTCATGTCCCCCTTCTGTTTATACCACTGGTAATTATTAGTCTTCCGTTATGATTGGTATATATGAAGATATATTTTATGTATATGTATAGAAAATTGAAGTTCTAAACGTCTCATAGTCTTAGTATTCCTGATTATATTCATATATGTGTGTATATATCTTATGGTTATATATAATATATATACACATATATCTTATATGTGCAGGAAGCGAAAAAGTTTCCAATTTTGAATTTGGCGATTTCTAGACGGGATTTGGGGATATTTTAGAAGGTTTTAAAATTTGGGAAATTTAGGGTTTTCTTTTTAATGTTTCGGGGTTTTAATTTATTTTAGAAATATCATTAACCTAAAATTATGGGATCCAAATTATAACTTTATAATTAATCAATTTTGCATATTAAAATAAATTTAAAATTATTTTGTAGATTCAATAGAGTATTTAAGTAATTTATGTGATGGGTACCTGGTTAATAGTAAATTCTATACATTCCATCATTTTATGTAATTGTATAAATAGTGGGTTGCAAATAGATATTACAAATTCAAAATTATCAGATATATCTATACAAATAATTAAACCACTATTTCCATATACAATTTCAAAAAATAAGCAACTTGATTGATTTGGATTTTATACTCTATTATTTCTAATATAGAAAACGTCTAACCTTCTATTTCCATCTATAATTTTTCTTAAAAGCTAGTTTTATACAACCGCAGAAAACTGAATTGAATAGTTTATAACTTATAGTATTGAAATTGAAATAGTAAAAATTAACATATATATTTTATTGTTCTTCAAGTTAATACCCTATTTTGTCTTTTTTTKGAAGGTAGTATCCTAGTTTAGTCATCGGTAAAGGGTTGCACTAGATATACCTTCTTCTATGACTTCACCGAATAAAGAGATTGAAGAGAGGTCGCATAAGAATCAATAATTAAGATATACGTCTTYTTTGCAAATGTTTAATGAACATGTTTATTGATATATATAATAGTGATGTAATCATTATGAAAAATGACGATAGTTTTTTTTTTCCCAATTACATTATGTCTGGTTTTGTTAAACGAAGTTAAAATATTGCATATTTATAAAACAAATTTATTGCAAATATGCATAACCCCTTCCCTATCTTTTGTGATAATTTTGTTAAAAATGTCGTTATACGACATGTAAGACATATGGTTAAAAATGTCAATAGCTTGTATTTTTATATTATATGTATTTAAATAAATATTTTTTTAACGCAACCTAATATATATTAATTAAAYCGCACTTTCAAATGGTTAAATATATGGTTTTATATTTTCCATTTATTTTATCTGATAATTTAATCTACCCACATTCATGTAGATTAGTAAAACTCATAACTGAATCGAGTGATCTATCTCTTTTGAAAATCTTGAGAAAATTATGTTATATATAACTCATTTTATTTTATTTATTTTTATTTAACCTTCTCATTTTCACATATCCTAATTGCATTTTGATATATTTTTCATGATTTATAGTGGTTATGATAAGTTGTTAATTTCATATTGGGTTTTTATGGGATATTTTTGTTAGGGAATCATGTATTTAAACTTTATGATGGTTCCATATGTCTATGCATTTATGAATTGAACTACAAAATAATTAGAATTTGTTTTATTTTGAACTAAAAAATAAAAGTCGAAAACAATTGTAGTTTAATGCTAAAAGTTAGAAAGACAACATGTTTCAAATCAAATTAAGGTGTTAAATTAAACAATTTTATAAATACATATAGATTTATGGATGAAATGTGATGAACCCTATATGATAGAACAAATTATCAACTTCTACCATAATTGATAATGAAAAATAATTGACAAACAATTGATATATATGTCAAATGAAAGRGGGGAGGGTGTGAGTTTAACCACCCACCCCACGATTGTACTATGGAAAAATAATCGATAATCTTTCCATTAATAGCATTCAATCACGTAATCAACATATTTATTGTTTTATTTCGTGGGACCTACCACTCATCTATTTTAAGCTAAATTAAAGGGGTATCAATATTCAATTATACTAATATTTTCCCTCCATTCATCCTTCACCCTCCCGCCATCTTCTTGTCTCCCTTAATCCAGCAGCCGCAGCAGCCAGGACAGACACCACCAGCGAAAGTCGTCGTCGGCGGCGGAGAACAGAGGCGGTAGTTCCTCCGGCCAGCTAAACCCGGCGATATCAACAGTAAACAATCGGCAGCAGCCGTCCCTCCTGTGATCAGTCCTACCACCGGCAACCTCTTCACCATTGTTTTAAAAACAAAATAAAAAATAAAATAAATTAACGAGGTGTAATACTCTCCGTGTGAGGAGTTTGAAAACAGACAGAAGAACAACCATTGTTTTTTCAACAGGGTGATCATGGTTGGTGGCAATTTCAAAGCGCGTCAACCACTTCGCACCTTGAAGACATGTAATATAACGAATAGCGAAAGCCGACGGCGAAACCTCACCGACAACCATAAGTCTAAGAAGCAGAGGATAGTCGAGTCTGCTACCGCCGAGGAGGAGATTGAATCGAAGTTTGGATTCGGTCTCTTCTCTGAAGGTGATAAGAGGCTTGGATGGTTGCTCACTTTTGCTCCTGTAAGTGATTTCTTTGCAATCCAAGAGTTAAAAGAGTTAAAATCTCTGTATCGCAATTCACTGTTTTCTTATAGAATTGTTCTGTATTTGATACTCGAATAGATAAACATCTATTAATTTATTTTATTGCAAATTTGTAGTCCTCTCGGAAGGATCAGGATACTGGAAAGGTCTATAGCTGTATCGATCTTTATTTTGTAACTCAGGTATAATGGCGTAACGTGACTGTTTGTGATTGCATGTAACAGATCAATTCAAAGTGTAATGTTTTTGAGTTTGGTACAGGATGGCAGCAGTTTCAAATCAAAATACAACTTTCGTCCTTATTTCTATGCAGCCACAAAGGTTGTGACCACATACAAAATCCATGTTGTTTGCTTTAGCTTCCTCAATCACTTCCATTGAGAAACATTTTTATCATGGTTATCGCCATTATGCATTAACAACGAAAAATACCATGTAAACGTTGTAGGATAAAATGGAAACTGATGTGGAGGCTTATTTGAAACGGCGTTATGAAGGTCGAATAGCTGATATTGAGATTTTAGAAAAAGAAGACCTTGATCTTGTAAGTTCTCCCACAAATTTATCTACATCTTTCGCTTACTTTATTTATGCTTTTAATATTCTATTTTATTTCTTGGTGCCAAAGAATTAATAATATTATAGCTTTGGAGTGTAGAAAATTATCGATACAAACTTATAAGAAATTAAACATTCCAATTTTTTTCTCTGCTGTTTTCCAAAGATAGTTATTTTTGGAAATAATCATTTTTTGAGTTTAAAATGTGGGGGTGGATATTCAAAATCTTGACCTTTTTRGTAGAAAATATATGCCTTAACCAACTGAGCTGTGCTCAGGGTGGTGTGTTCTAGAGTTCAGTTGCTTGTGAAGACCATGCTAGACTAGGGTCGCAAGTTTTATGTTTTTCTAGTGGCTTAGTTGTAACATTGTACTTTTTTTAAAAAAATATTCGTGAATGTCTAGACTTGCTTATGCACACTTCAACTGATCTTATGCGCAACATTTGGTTGCTAGGAAGTTCACGTGATTTTATTATCCAAAGTATGTTGCCACCATGGAGTTTGAATCTATCTCTCCCAAGTCCCCCTGCTTTCTTTMACTTGTATCTCTTTATCTATATTCTATATATTTATACTGCATAGGCTTTTTTATTATATTACTCAATTACAACTTTATTATTCCTTTTGCTCTGTCCTGATTGATATCCATCTATATCCATCTTCTGATGTGTCATTTGTTTTCTCATTTGCAGAAGAACCATCTGTCGGGCTTGCATAAGGCATATTTAAAGCTATCATTTGACACTGTTCAAGAATTGATGAATGTAAAAAATGAACTATTCCATGTTGTTGAAAGCAACTGGGAGAAATCTGATGCTGCAGAAGCATATGATTCTATTTTATTTGGGAAAAGGTGAGCCCTAGAGGTTTGAGTTTAATGTGTATTGTATAATACAATTTTATAATTCTTTTAGCATCATTTTTGTTAACTGTTTATGAGAATTAGGTGTTCAGATTTATGAGAATGTTAGATGGGTGATTCTATAATGCAAAATAATCCTACAAAGTATTTAAGAACATGAAAGATGCGTATGTTTCTTCTAAAGAATTCTTTCATGGTCATGGTGTGGTAATCTAATTTCAAACAGTATTTTCATTGTAACAATATTTATGTATGCTATTGTTCCAAGTAAAATTAAACCTTAAAAATATTCATGCATGTGGGGAATATTTGGATGCTTAGGACCTCAAGAGTGCAAATAAGGAAACGGATATTGATAAATGAACCCTATTATGCCTACCCTATGCTAGAAAAATTTCCAAATAAATGCTYCTTTTAGGTTTTAGTTCATTTGTAGCATTAGAATGTTTTTTAGTTTCATCAAGGCATTTCATTTATAACATTACATAGTTTGATTTTATTTGCATGTATGGCTGTCTTGGACTAATTAATCTCTTGATTTACAGAGAACAAAAGCCTCAAGATTTTCTAGAATGTATTGTTGATCTTCGAGAGTATGATGTTCCTTACCACGTTCGCTTTGCTATTGATCATGGTAATTTCTCATTTTATTTTAGACTAGTACAATTACAATACGCTCTAAAGTCATTTCTTGATTTTCTGTCTTTTTTTTTTCTGTTTTGACAAGGCAACGTAATTTTTCATTAATGAGATGAGAAATTACAGTGAAAGTTGCAATAACTTCCAAATGTTGAATACAAACAACCAAAAACCAAGAGTTACAAAATGTTCAGACCACTAAACCATTTGCTTACAGCAACCTAAACACAAAAACAACCACCAAAAAGTCTGAAAAAGTATCGCCAAGAATCTTAGAAAACACCAATTGAGCCACCAAAGAGAACAAACGCTATCAACTTCAACTCCATTCAACATGTGAGATTCCATGATCCAAGAACTGATGAAGATTCTGCATCTAAAAGACAGCCGAAGAGAACCAACAAATACGTACCAAGAAAGCCAAAGTTCATTAGGATAATTAAAATCCGACAGTGGATTTTCATTATTTCCAAAAAAAAAAAAAAAAAAAAACCAAACGGGAACTCTCTAACCTTAAAAGAGAAAGACAAAACTTCACCGCTCCTGCTTCTACTTATTGACTTTATGCTTAAGAGAACTCTTCCTTTTTACTTTTTCCTAGCATTTGAGATAGGAACCAATATTATTCCAGAATTCTTCAAAATATCTGCACCTTCATCCCCTAAATACTTTTTGGCATAAACTGATCTAGGGCCTTGACTAATGAAGGAGCGGGCAGATTTATATATATTTTGTCTTTTGACACTCAACAGATTTGCGCTGCGGACAGTGGTATGATGTTAGTGTATCAAGCACTGGTGTTACTCTTGAGAAGAGGAAAGATCTTCTGCAACGTGCTGAAGTTCGCATATGTGCATTTGATATTGAGACCACAAAGCTACCATTGAAATTTCCAGATGCTGAATATGACATGATAATGATGATTTCCTATATGGTTGATGGACAAGGGTACTTGATTATCAACAGAGAGGTATTTTTTGTAACGAAAGAAATTTGTTAAATGCATTATACTTATTATAAATATAGTTTGGTTATRCTTAGTTTTTTTAGTAATTTGTATAGCAATTACTCACTTTAGTGTGATGGATCTATTAATTTTATTCGTCTTTCATCTAAAATTCATGCAAATATTAGTCGATGCAATTTTTCTGAGTCTAAAAGTGTGAGCGTTTTAATAATAATAATGTATCTATAAGTTCTGTCWAATTGGACATGCTTCTTGACATGTTCCTGTTGTGTTTGCTCACAAGTTCTCTTAATTATTTTGAGGTTTTACGCACTCATGACTGTTCTCTTTCATCTACAAGAAACCTCAAGTCATATGTTCATTCATTCTTCACCTATTAAGGCTCCAGTAATAAACTTCCAAATGAAGGTCCTACTAGTTAGCAAATTTTGTTGATATTTACTTAAATTTGCTTTCCACTATTTTTATAGTACATATATTCAAGATATTAATCATGATTAGTTTGTTATATCTGCAGTGTGTTGGAGAAGATATCGAGAATTTGGAGTACACTCCAAAACCTGAATATGAAGGGTTCTTCGAGGTGACCAATGTGAAAAATGAGGTAAACCTGATATGAAGGGTCTCCATGTTGTTATCCTTCCAGTGTTCATGATGCTGTGATTAAGATACACATTTACTTGTAAGTTATTTAATTAATCTTTTTTAATTAGAAAATTTATTTAATCTCTAATGCAGTTGGAGCTTCTCAAATTGTGGTTTTCCCATATGCGAGAGGTGAAACCTGGTATCTATGTCACCTATAATGGCGACTATTTTGACTGGCCATTCCTTGAAAGCAGAGCGGCATTTCATGGGTTAAAAATGAGTAATGTATGTCTTTGGTTTTTATTAAATGTCAAATACTATCAGCCTGAAAGCATAAGTCGTTTCCTTTGATGATGTTTACCTAATASGTGAGTTTTGTTATTCTAAGTTAATCAGTGACTTATTGTGTTATTTAGTTATGTCTTAGTGCAGAATGCTCTATACAGTGCTTTTTGCGAGGGTTTTTAGCATTCTTACAGTTGTGGAGTGGAGCTTCCTTTGTTATCTTTTAGTGGTTAATAATCATTCTGGATGTGCTTGGAACCTCATGGCTGTTGGTTTCTTTCTGCATTTCTTGATATTGGGAATACTCGCACGATTTCTTCAGCAATGTGGAGTAAAACTCATTTTGTGTATATGTTTCTTGTGTACATTGAACTTTCATGCTAATATGAGTATGTCAACATTATGGTGAACTTGAAGTCAGTAGCTATCGATATAAATACTATTCTTAGGCCATGTGGTTTTAGCTACTTTCTAAATTTGATTTTTATTGGAACTTCTTGATTGGTCCGTACTCAAAACCTCTCTTTTCCTAATGAATTTATTTCACTTTGACCTTGTAGGAAGTAGGATCTCAATGCGACAAGAATCAGGGGGAATGTCGTTCAAAATTTGCTTGTCATTTGGATTGCTTTGCCTGGGTGAAGCGTGATAGTTATCTTCCTCAGGGTAGTCATGGTTTGAAGGTACAAAATCTAATTGGGTATTTCTTCGCTTATTTCTAATAGATCATGAATTAGTGGGTAATTCTAATTAAGAATGTTATGTCTGGGTGGGGTAAAGTAAAATCTACTTTCTTGGAAAGGGTTTCCATAAAGCTGCTGGTATTGTGTCATGCAACCACGACTCTATGTCCTGTATGACAATAACTAATAGCTTCATTTTTCCTGATAATTCTCATTGGGTTTTGGTTGAATTGTCGAGGAGTCGATAAAATGAAAAGTGAGATTGYCAATACTCAAGTTCTGCAATAGTTATTCAATGCCTTTTATGTTCATATTGCATTTATGAAGTAAATAAACCATTGAATGGGTAAGCAGAAAGAAGAAAGAAAGAATCCCTACCTAGTTGCCGAGGTTGCGTTGTTTCCAAGTCAATTATGGTTCTATTAACAGGAGAAAATGAGTGAGAGAATAAAAATATAATTCTCTCTTAACAATACAGTTATGACAGAAATCTATAGAGAGTTCTCTCTCTTTCTATGATAAGTAACTACTTTTAGATATTTGTTGTTTTAATCTTATGATAGGCTGTCACAAAAGCAAAATTGGGTTATGATCCTCTTGAAGTGAATCCTGAGGATATGGTGCGGTTTGCAAAGGAAAAGCCTCAGGTATGAAACATGATTCATGTGCTTTTGTTTTCATTTATATCAGTGAAATGTTTGGTTTTTTACCAAAAAAACTGAATTGTTTTCTGTTGTTACTTGTTTCTATAATGTGATTCTTGGATGTTAAAATTAGTGCATAAAACTAAGGAGAAATAAATACTGAATGTAATGATTGCTRTTATCTTTTGTAAAACAATCAATATTTGACTTCTTTCTTGCATGAGCTCTGACACCAATTGATACTATACTGTAGTATGATAGTTAAGAAAGAGAGGCCTCAGACCAATTCTTCGGTTACCTACTCTATACGCTTACACAATCTAATGTATACTTCTCCCCGCACATTCCTGTACAAAAGATATTCTTTTCCTGTCACATAACTAACTTATCATGCTACACCCCAGGCATTCCTCCTTGCATATGTGAACTTATCAATCATATTGGAATTCCATATCCTTTTACATTTCTCAATAGAAACATGACTCTCTCCTGGAAGTCTTTGTACTTGTACAACTTTTTCAATGTTCTGACATCCTGAAGGTTTAGAGTTTGACGTTTCTTCAAGGATGTTACTTCTCTCATATTTGGATAGGCAGTTGCTCAGAATATGCAATTACATTTTTTCACAACTCTCTACTCAATTCTCTACTCTACTCATTAATTTTTATTTATTTCTCAGAAGTTGAACTCTTGTGAGTCGTGAATGTGTCTTCCTAATAGCTGTTTCATTTGTCATTGAAAATGTAATTGCAGATGATGGCTTCCTATTCCGTTTCAGATGCTGTTTCTACATACTACTTGTACATAACCTATGTTCATCCTTTTATTTTTTCTCTTGCAACCATCATTCCAATGACCCCAGACGAGGTATTGCGCAAGGGAAGTGGGACACTTTGTGAAATGCTTTTAATGGTTCAGGTTGGGTATTATTTTGATGTTGATATGTTTGTTCATCATTTTCTTATAAAACCAGTGATTTTTTTTACCTTCAGTTTCTCCGGTAATTTTATTTCTGTCACAGGCTTACAAGGCTGATGTTGTGTGTCCCAACAAACATCAATCAGATCCAGAGAAGTTCTACAACAACCGGCTTCTTGAAAGTGAGACATACATAGGTGGTCATGTAGAATGTCTTGAGAGTGGTGTATTTAGATCTGACATTCCTACCAGTTTTAGGCTTGATTCATCTGCTTATGATGTATGCCATATTCATGCATCTCAACTAAGTTCCCTGTTTCTTTTAGTAATTTAAAAAAATATTTAATTGACAATAGTGCTTTAAAATCATTGATTGCATTGGATTACTCTGCTTTTCAGCAATTGATAGACAATCTAGATCGGGATCTACAGTATGCCATACAAGTAGAAGGAAAGATGGACRTGGAAATGGTGTCAAACTATAGCAATGTGAAGAATGCTATCATGGAAAAGGTGGCAAGAATTTCTTTTGGATACTTTGTTTTATTTTATTTTGTTACAACTGTTTTTTATGATTTTTATTTATGGCAATTCTTGAACGTGATTCATTTTTTAAAAATGGTTCATGAAGTGAAGTTTCTGTTCTTTAAACTCAAAATACTGTTTTTTTGTTGTTGTTGGAAACAAGACTCACAATAGTGATGGATTAGTTTTCTACGTGCTTCATCTTAAAAATGCATGAGGATGTAATTTTTCTATCTAATTTGTCCTTTCATTTCTATATTCTGTCTCCCTCTCCCATTTGATGCACAGCTTATTAGATTGCGGGATGGACCTGTACGTGAAGAGTGCCCTTTGATATATCACCTTGATGTAGCTGCAATGTATCCTAACATTATTTTAACAAATAGGCTTCAGGTGTGTTCAATCCTCTTTTCCCTTTTAGTTAACCCTTTTGGCAGGGTTGGCACCAAAAGGTATACTTTATCTTAAAGGAGAATTACAAATAATACTTGATTTCTCTATGTTCTGAACCAAGGTTRTCTGTTAATGATGGAATATACATTTTCAAATTTTGCCAAAAGAAAAAGAAAAGAAAGAAAAACAAAAATTTTAAAAATTCTGAAACTAGACTGTAAATCTGCAAAATCTATTTCCAGATTATTTTAAAAACATGATTACTTGCTTTACCATAATAATACTTTTCCTAAATTTACTAGGCAATATTTCAATGTTAACCATCGCTTCAACAACTTATTTTTGTTTAATTCCAGCCGCCGTCAATAGTTACAGATGAGGTTTGTACTGCCTGTGATTTCAACCATCCCGAAAAAACTTGTCTACGAAAACTTGAATGGGTTTGGCGTGGAGAGGTATTCATGGCTAAAAAGAGGTCAACTCTCTCTCTCTCTCTTCCATCTTGTGTTTTTTCATCTGTTGACTATTGCTATTTGTCATGTGGTGACTTATTGAAATTGTTTTATCATTTTTAACAAATCCAGTGACTATTATCATTTGAAGAGGCAAATTGAGTCTGAGTTTGTTGATAGCGGTGACATTCGGTTGTCAAAATCATTTCTTGAACTTCAGAAGTTGGAGCAGCAGGCAAAGCTCAAAGATCGTTTGAAGAAATACTGTCAGAAGGTTTATTGGTCTCTGTTTAATTGAATGTCTGAAGTAACTTTTTGATATATACTAATTCTGTGTTTGCTAGGCTTATAAACGGGTACTTGACAAGCCAGTCACTGAAGTTCGAGAAGCAGGGATCTGCATGAGAGAAAACTCCTTCTATATTGACACTGTCCGTAGGTAGGTGATTTAAACCATTATGTGTGACGGTTTTTAGAATGGTTTCATCCAAGGTTGCTATTTATTCTTTGGTATCAATTGAAAGGATATTTAGCTCTTTTTTGGAATCAGTTCAATTTTAGAGTTGTGTTCAGTTGACGCAATTAGATAATGTCAAGGGGAAGGTTATACTACTAATAATACAACAAAACGCTTACTAGTAATTTAACAAAGATACATGGATGAGTCATCTTTTTTACAAGAAACAACTTTTCATTGATGAGTCATCTTGTAGATAGGATATGTTACTTTCTTGTCCAATCACATTTCAATTCTGACTTACATCGTTTCTATACATCCAAGTTTTCGAGATAGAAGGTATGAGTACAAAGGGCTCAATAAAGTATGGAAGGGGAAACTATCAGAAGCTAAAGAGAGTGGAAATTCAATCAAGATACAGGAAGCCCAAGTATGGAAATTGTTTTTAACTTCTTGCTGACTTAAAGTGTTGTCAATCTATTTTTAAAATTTCTGTGTCTTAGGTTACTTGTTTCCTCACTAATTTTTGCAGGACATGCTGGTTCTTTATGATTCTTTACAACTTGCTCATAAATGTATCCTCAACTCCTTTTATGGATATGTGATGCGGAAGTAAGTTCTCTTTTATTTGGTTTGAGACCTTTTGTATTTCTGCCGTTGGAATTCAGTGCGATGCCTTCTTTTTGAAATGACACTTTCCTTATAGGGGTGCTCGATGGTACTCAATGGAAATGGCTGGGGTTGTTACATATACTGGAGCAAAAATCATTCAGAATGCTCGTCTACTGATCGAGAAAATTGGAAAACCACTGGAGTTAGACACTGATGGTATCTGGTGTGCACTACCTGGATCATTCCCTGAGAACTTTACCTTCAAAACAAAGTATGAATTGATCTTTCACGATTCACATGYATGCTTAGTGTTGAAATAGTGAATATACATAAAATTCACATATATGCTTCGCAATTATGCCCTTTTGTCCCACTCTGTTTACTTATAATGATTATCTAAAATTGACAACTATGTAATATGAAAAATATGTTTCAGAGACTCAAAGAAGTTGACAATTTCATATCCATGTGTTATGCTTAATGTCGATGTGGCAAGGAACAACACAAATGATCAATACCAGGTGAGTTTGGGACTTTTTTTATTTATTTCTTTTTAACTAATCTTGTAGGTCCACGTATATTTTCTGGCTGACATATGACTTCAAGCTGACGTTCTAAATATTTCAATAGACTCTTATAGATCCTGTGAAGAAAATATATAAAACGCATAGTGAATGCTCAATTGAATTTGAAGTGGATGGACCGTACAAGGTAACATAGCATCTATTTTCATTTGATTAAACTACTTTGGATTCAAGATGTTCATGTAGTTTATGGTTTAGGCAATGATCCTTCCTGCCTCCAAGGAAGAAGGCATTCTGATCAAGAAGCGATATGCTGTCTTTAACGATGATGGAACCCTTGCAGAGCTGAAAGGCTTTGAGATCAAGCGTAGGGGGGAGTTGAAGCTCATCAAAGTTTTCCAGGTCTTTCTTCGCTCTTGTTCTCTGCTGGTCATCTTACTAAATAAACTCTGTAATTCATCATGACGGATTTGCAAGAACTGAGTTACAATTTGTTACTTTTCTTGGCATGGCCGAGTCTTGTAATATAGCTGCACCCTAAGATGGTTAAGCACAGCCAGTTTAATCAGTATAAAAAGTAGATAGTGGATTGCCCAACTCTTTGGTTCAGAAATGTTCCAGTCATTTTCTATTTTTCCATTTCATTGATTTTATAAGGATTTTGGGAGAGCTGTTTTGTTTTCCATTTCTACTTTTTTTTTGAGAACTCTTTTCAAAAGTTGTTTGGGTTACTTGTAAATGTTGAAATTTTTATGAATTTGAAATTATCATTCTCAAGTCCATGATTTTCGAATGAAGAACTTAAAAATAGGTCATCCTTGAAAAAGCAATTACCGAAACTTATTATCACTGATATTTTCTCTCTAAAATGCAAAAAATAATTTTTTGAAATAGCTCCCAAACAGTCCCTTAATTTCTTCTTTAGGGGAAGGTAAGAGAAAATAATGATCAATCCACTTTAGAAGCACACGGCATTTTAGAATTTAGAAATAGCTAAAATAGAGTTGGCTTAGGGCATATCTGCCTGATAAAGACTTCTCATTATGCTGATATTCATTATGCTATCTCTAAMTTAAACTTGTAGGCCGAACTTTTTGACAAATTTCTTCATGGTTCTACCTTAGAGGAATGCTATTCAGTTGTTGCATCTGTTGCAAATCGCTGGCTTGATCTTCTAGATGTAAGTAGAATTTGAATTGAATACTATATATTATTAAAGCATCTTATTTTTTTCAAACATCTCTTCAAGTCTAAATTTAATGAGGATCTTCCGTTCTAAATTATCACTAATCATAATGGTTTAGGATATGAATAGTCCTCAGTCCATTTAAAATATTAATATGTGCATCAAATTTTCCCCATTCTTCCCCTCAGAGTCAAGGAAAAGATATTGCAGATAGTGAGTTGCTTGATTATATATCTGAATCCAGTACCATGAGCAAGTCTCTGGCAGACTATGGGGAGCAAAAGTCTTGTGCTGTTACCACTGCAAGACGCCTTGCTGATTTTCTTGGTGACACAATGGTCAGGGATAAAGGCCTACGTTGTCAATATATAGTTGCATGTGAACCCAAGGTATGTACAGTGTATGATTTTAATATATATGATATATACCCCCGATGAGCATTCATACTTCTTAATCTCAATAATCTAAGGTTTTAGCTGATATCATTGTATCTGTTCCTATGAAGTTTTGGGTACAATTTGAAATAGGTTCAATTATGTGGCCTTGAAATAATGACATGTAATATAAGGAAGATTAGAAAGAACTGAATTACATAGAGTTTGTCTTCTACCTCTTGATAAATTAAAATTATTCCATCTGTTAAGCTTCTGGCCCAACTTATAAATTCATTCTTAATAATGTGATAGGGAACACCTGTAAGTGAGCGTGCTGTTCCTGTTGCTATATTTGAGACTGATGCAGGTGAAAATACAGTGTGGATTTCTTTGACATGATTCTATTGGTTGCATAATTATATAAAAGAAATTGACAGTGTATAATCAACTTGCAGAGATCATGAAATTTTATGTACGCAAATGGTGCAAAATTTCATCAGAAGCTGGAATTCGATCCATCATTGACTGGTCCTACTACAAGCAACGCCTAAGCTCAGCCATTCAAAAAATTATAACAATTCCAGCTGCCATGCAAAAGGTTTACTTCTCGTTATATATATGAGTTCCATCTTGTTTTCTCACTAAAATTATGTTTATATATTTTTTAGGTTGCAAATCCTGTCCCTAGGGTGGTTCATCCTGATTGGTTACATAAGAAAGTTCGTGAGAAGGATGATAAATTTCGCCAACAGAAAATAGTTGATATGTTTGCCTCCTCAAATGGAGCTAAATTTTCAAAGAACAGTGGTTTTAGCTGCAGCAAACATGTGATGAACGAAGAGAATTCTGAAGATTTAGAAGACTTTCAAAAGAAAACGAGTTCTATAAATGGCCCCAAACCAGTTGTCCGATATTATGATGTTAGACCCATGAAACATTCAGTTAGAAGAAATAGCCAAATAGATTCCTCGATGCAGGAAAAAATTAATGCTGGAGGACGTGGGCCTTCTTCACCATTGTATTTTGAAAACATTGACAGAAATGTGGATTACCGAGGATGGCTTGAAATGAAGAAGCGGAAGTGGAAGGATAATTTGGACAAGAGGAAGAAACAAAGGTATGTTGTCTTCAATCAGATAAGCTACATTCCATGCCATAGGTATATGGTATCATCTTCAAAACCAAAATAATGAAGGATGAAGATATCTTAAATGTATAGATCCTGAAGTAAATATAAGGGGGAAATTTATGCAATATGTGTTACAGAGGTACTAATTGCTTCTCGTTTTTTTGTGGGGAAACTATTCTTTTAGCATATATTTTTTCTTTATATGGCCTTCAATTCTCTTGTACCTTTATCCTTCTTAATGAAATCAGGTTTTCTTATTTGAAAAAAGTAATAAATAAAGGCTCTATGTTGGTGACATGTGGTTTGCAATTTTAAGCGTATTTTAGCCGTATGGTGGTAATTTATGTTTAAACAGGAGAGCATTTGTTTTGGCAGATTGGGGACTCCACTTCCTGCTAATGATGTTACAAGGGAGTTAAATTGTGCTACGAATAATAAAGAGGCTCCTAGAATTGCAGGTGTTGATTCATATTTCAAGAGGCATGAAATATCTATMACACACTGCCATTGGCAGGTATTGTAATTTTGTTTCATTTTAGTGTTTGTCTGGATATATTAATTTGTTTTTACTCACTTAACCTCATATTGTATTTCCAGATTATACAGCTTGTTCATAGTTCACAGAATGGCCAATTTTTTGTTTGGGCTGTCGTTGAAGGAGTTATGCTAAGGATTCCTATTACAGTTCCAAGAGTTTTTTACCTTAATTCYAAAGTACCCGTCACAGAAGAAGTGGGTAGGGGTGTTAACAAAATCCTTCCCCATGGAAGGCACACCTATAACCTCTATGAGGTATTTTAGGATTATTCTGAAATGTATTATATAGCTTCTTTCCATATATAAATTATTGGTCCGTTAAGGATCCCACATTGATAAAAGAAGACATGGGCTACTACTCTCATTGCCAATTGGTTTTGAGATGGAACCCCATGAATATTAATATGGTATCAGAGCCAAAAGCTCAAACGAGCAACCGGTCCAAAAATGGGATCGGGCCAAGATCGATGAGTCAAAAGAGCCACGATCTTGAGGGGGCATGTTAAGGATCCTACATTGATAAAAGAAGACATGGACTACTACTCTCATTACCAATTGGTTTTGAGATGAAACCCCATGAATATTAATAGTCTGAAAGTTACATTATTTTATTTTATTTTTTATAATTATAATTACAGGTTGTGACTGATGAAGGTCAATTTAAGACACAGAGCAATAAACTTGCAGCCCTCCTTGCAGATCCAGAAGTTGAGGTCAATATCTGACTTCTTTGTCTGTAGTCAAGTTTCCATATGTCAAATTGAAGACAGCATACCTCATTTGCTAAGTATTTTAATTGTTTTTCCAGTTGAATTCTGATGCTGTTCTTTGATAGGGAATCTATGAGAGCAAGGTACCATTGGAGTTCAAGTCTATCCTCCAGATTGGTTGTGTCTGTAAAGTTGATAAAGCTGCTAAAAGACGAAACATTCAAGATGGGTGGAATCTGAATGAACTGCAAATGAAGACTACAACAGAATGCAGTTATCTGGAAAAACCAATAATTTTCTTTTATGTGTATCATAGGTATCTTTTTTGAAAGTGTTGTGTAATTTTTGAACATTAACATTCTAAGTAGCTTTCTCATTGAAAATTATCTTTAACTAAATTTCTTCTGCTTAATATTTCCAATTGACTTATATCTGTGGAATAATTATTGCTTTAGAATTCCTATGCACCACTTAACATCAATCCTCAACTCTAAAGAAGGCAGGCGTYGTTACTTCTAGGGTATATTTTGCTTTAGCATTGATCATTGTAGACTAAGACATGAATCAAAATGCTTGAATAACGTTGCTATTATGCTTCTTCAAAACTTATATTGGTTTTCTGAATAGGATTTTCTTATTTTGCAAAGGCTTTCTATTTTAAATACTACTGACACATTTCCCTCTAATTTTAGCATTTCTGAAGGAGGAGCTATCTACATTACTTATTTTCCTGGCATAGGATCCATACTTGTGGTGGTGGTTAGCCCTTACCGAAACAAAGACTTGTCTTCCACTTTTCTTGAAAGGCAATTTCRTGAAGCTTGTCAAATGCTCTCTGGTCAATCACAATCTCCAAATAGTGGTATAAATTACAAGGTAAACTCTCATGTCTTTCTAAACAAATACCTCCTATCTGATTTGGTATTACATAATTTTTGGTTCTACAAAATATTTAGGCGATGGAATTATCAAACTTAAGGCACGTTGGAATGTATATTCTGTAACTAACTAAATAACTTTTTTAAAAATTATATTTCTAAATTACTATTATTGGATTCTGAAAGCTATTTCTTTTTACAAGGCTAAATGTTAGTAGAAAGAGAGAAGGATATTATGTTAAATCTTGTTGTGGGATATTCACCATGAATGTAGCCTAAAATGCAGAATTTTGGTGAAGAAAAATAGGGGAAGCTAAAAACTGGTTTATAGGGAGAGTCTTGGTAAACAATTTATTTATTTATTACATTTAGATAGAAATATTTTATTTGCCAAATTATGGGAAAATTAAGTGGTTCTAACACAAAAACCATTAGTGGTCAATAAGGGCCAAATGTAAATAGCACAGGGCTCAGAAAGAATGAGTTCAAATCATGATGGCTACCTATCTAGGATTTAATATTTTACGAGTTACCTAGGCAACTAAATGTAGTAAGGTCGAACGGTTGTCCCGCAAATTGGCCCGAAGATTTAGTATATAAAAAAAAGTGGTTCTAACATGAATTCACTTGAAATGTTTTTTTTCTTCATAATTGTCTCAACTGGAAACTATTCAATAACATAATACTATTGTTTGCGAGATTGTTAAATTACCACTAACCCAAAGTTTAAGCCCTAAACTAATTGACTAGGGTGAATTTAAGCATTTTGTATATTCTATATATTATTACATTTTGTTGCATGCAATATTAATTTGATGGACGAAATTCAATAGGGAGACTTTTATATCAAAATGAAAGAGGAATTATATTTTAGAAATTTGAATTTACAATCTCATGATACTAATCTTAAATGTTCAATTTGTTTGGCTAAGTGGAATTAATCATGTAATTTATTTATTTAATAAATACTAATATCTTATTTTTTAATATACTTTAACCATACCAGTCTCGTTATTAAGATGATATGTTCATGTCCTTATTTATCTTGAAGTCTAACCACATTTTTCACTTTCTATTCACCTCCTAGGTTGACTATGTTGCTAACAACAAAGAAGCTGAAGTGATTTTGCAGAGATCAATAACAGAGCACAGGTTTAGTCATTGTTTAATTCTTTATGCAAATGCTTTTAAACACATGATCTTTTGAAAATCATGAGGGCTTTTTAAGTTTTCGTCTTAAAGTGCTTACAGAAAAAAGTATTTTACTTAAAAATATTATTTTGCAAAAGGCATCCCGAACTCAATATTAGTTGGCATCAGGTCAAAAAATTTCTCTTTGGTCACATTCTATCGATCATGCCCTTCTATTTAGTTCTTTTTCCATGTTACCTTTTGTAATAATATTGATCCACAGGAGCATAAATCGTGGACCTATTGTAGCTGTAATTGATTGCCCAAATCTGCAGCTGCTGAAGTCAGGTGTGAGAGCGTTAGACGATTTTCCATGTGTGAGGGTCCCTTATAATGCTCGTCATAGTCAATATCAGGTAGTCTTCTACGATATAGCTTCTTAACTTGGTCGGTTATACTTGAGTTATCATTTTATTTTATTTCAATATAAAATTTATCTTTGTGAATTACCAATTAATTTTTCTTTATTAGAAAAACAATGTATTATCAAGTTATCCCAATGCCTAGGCCAATGCATTACTCTTGGAATTATCATTTATTATTCTTTTTATAACGTGAGTATTCAGACTAGTTGATGCACACTGTTTATTTCTCACCGTATAGATCTACAATTTTTTTATCCTAAGTAAGTGGCTACCATTGGATTTGGATCCTTGCCTCAGAACTCTTGGAATTATTGATATTTGACAGGAGATAAAAAATGCTATAAAAATTTGGAGATATTGAGGTCAAATATCCATAATATTTGTTTATTATGTATTTTGGTTAAGTTTGTGGTGGGCCTTATTAGCCAAGAATAGAATGTACAAATATTGTATAAACTATAACATGAAGTGTTCAACTTTTTTAGATTAGTTGCTTAATATAAGTAAAGTAAGATGCATTGTTTATATAATTGTGCGTTACAGTTTCTTGGTTGGCAACAAAAAGCTGCAAAGATTGGAATGCAACGGTGTGCTGCATCATCCCAGTGGTTGAATGATAGAATCTCTCTTGCCAGATATGCGCATGTAACTTCTTTTTCTCTCTTTTAAACTTTTTATTTGCAAGACTTGGTATGAATCTTAATTTTGAATCTTATTTGGCAGGTACCTGTAGGAAACTTTGAACATGATTGGAAAATTTTTACAGCAGATATTTTCTTTTCAAGAGCATTACATGATCAACAGCAGGTTGGTTTGTTTGTTTTTTAATTATTCTTATTAATATAAATAATTCCATGCTGTTTTATATTTTCCTTGTTGAATCCCAATATATTTGTAGAAGAAGCTTCGTAAGGGCTTCTTGGCTTTTTGGTTATATGCTTTTTCTGTAGATATGATCTTAAAGAATTTAGTTGATTGATTGAGAAGTCCTTGAAGAAATTGCCTTCTGCACTTCCTTCTTTTTCCTAATTTTTTCATTGTATGGTCTCATTGAACTTTTCCTAACTTGAGGATTTTAATTTTTGATACATAGGTACTTTGGGCATCAGATGATGGTGTTCCAGATATAGGAGGCATTAATATTGAAGATGTGTGTTTCGTGGATGAGGTATGTTACAAATGGGACTTAGAATTTTATCTTATTATTACTTTCTAATAATTGTTAGTAGTTATTTTTAACTTTCTTTTTTCCTTAAAAAACATTTGTATTTTTGGCTTCTATTTTTTAAAAATAATTTCATAGGCATATTGATAATGATAGCCATACACCTTATTTTATCTATTTCGTTTTGATGATTTACCATTGGTTCCTTTGTAACAGGTCCAACAACCTTTTCTGAAATGTTCTGGAGCATATAGAAAAATTTCTGTGGAGCTTAAGGTCGAGTATTTAAACATACCTTTGATAATAAAAGTTTGGGCTAAGTATACACAATGATATAATTCTCAATTTTATCTTTAATGCATTAAATTCTCAATTAGGTCCCCTAATAAAACTTTATTAACAAGAAAAAGTAACCTATTGTTAAATTATTTTAAATTAACATATTTGGAAACGTAGAAATGCCACTTGGATGCTACTTGACACATAAACTCTAACCAGTCCACTAGTGAATTTAGTTCCATCAATCAACAAAATCTATTTCGTCCAAGTGACATACCCACATGGTGAAATATGTTACTAAAATAATAATTTAATGATACTCCGGCTATTATCAACAAATTTTTTACGAAATGACTTTGGGAACTAGAGGTAAAATTGAGAATTTTAAAAGATTAAAGATGAAATTGAGAATTACTTTAAAGATTAGGACCATTTGGTATATTTAGCCTAAAAGATTTGAGTTAAGTGATAGGATTTAAGTATCTTTACCGCCCATCCCATGCAGATCCATCATTTGGCTGTTAATGCTCTGCTGAAGAGCAGCCAAGTGAATGAAATGGAAGGTGGGTTTGATGAGGCTCCATCGGCATTTCATGTCCTGAAACAATTGATACAAAGGTGTCTTGCAGATGCAGTTACATCTGGAAACGTATATGCTGATGAAATTTTGCAGCATCTTTACCGTTGGATTTCGAGGTTTCTGCTTGTTCACTTGTTGATAGATCAATCTTGGCCAGTTCACTATATGTTCATTCATTTTTTTCTTTTTCATTATAGCCCCCAATCAAAACTTCATGACCCAGCTCTTCATCGCTTGCTTCACAAGGTATGTATTATTGTTCTTAGATGCTAAATAAACTTCAAGTTAATTTAAATCTCTCTTTTTTAATGAAAAAGTAACTGCAGGATAACCCTCCACTGCATTTGTTATTTGTTATTTGTTTTATTTAAGAGAGAGTCAAAAAAAGAAGAAAGGAAAAAAAAGTGGGAAAAATAAGTAAATAAAAAGTCCCCGTCACTATTTGAGACGGAATGGAAGAAGCGAGATTCTCGAATGAGGAAAATGATCCAATGACTTCAAAAGAATTGAACGAGGAGCCGTATAAGGTGAATATCTCATATATGGTTCTATAAACTCTCCACTGCACATTAATGCTTAGCTATAGTTATTTATTGTTTCTAATTAAATTGACTAAAATATATTTTAGTCCCCCAGTTTCAATTTGGCCTTTTTTGTTTTAACACTTTTCAATTATATTTTTTTCCTTAGTGTAGTAGGTATCAATTTTGACTAATGGTAAGCTTACCTATAGATGATACATAAGAGAAGAAGAAAATTTCTCATTCCTAATATCCATTTAAAGGAGAATTGGGACACCTCAGATATCAAAATTTTTTATTCCTCCAAATTTCTAATTTCGCCCTAATTTGAAAGGTTGCTTAATTTCTAAGGTGGCCTAGTTTCTAATTCCTCCTATGGTCAAAATGTTGGACCGTTTTCCCTTTTCGTGGTCTAATTACTCCTCTAAATTGGTGATATTAGGTTATGCGGAAGGTGTTTGCTCTTTTGTTGGCTGAACTACGCAAATTAGGTGCCACCATTATTTTTGGGAACTTCTCGAGAATAATTATAGACACGGGAAGGTTTAATCTCTCTGCTGCTAAAGCATACTGTGATAGCTTGCTGAGAACACTACAAACAAGGTTTTTTTTTTCTCCCTTTTGAAGGGAGTTTGTCTTTCATATAACATGCTTACATTGTATTCTGTGTTTTCCCTTATTATTTTTCCTTGTATGTAGGGACCTGTTCGAGTGGATTGAACTGAAACCAGTACAGTTCTGGCACTCGCTGTTGTTTATGAATCAGGTTTGATGATGTCATCTTTCAAAGTTCATGCTTCACTTTGTTCTTGTTTCTGGCATAGCTTTTTATTAATGGAAAATTATATTGCTTCTGTCGAGGACGACATGTTAATAGATGATCCAATATGTAGGGGAAAAAACTCAAAATATATGAGCATTTCATTCTTTCCTCTTTTAATCATTATAACAATTAAGAAATTTAAGCTTTTTTTTTTTTTCCTAAAAAGATATGGAAATGTCAACTTAAGCTTAATTCAACTAAAAATCGGAAGTTTGAATCTGATTCGCACCTAATGTTGTTGTATAAAAATAACATAGGCTAATTAAGAAGTGAGAACAAATTGTAGTATATATTTAAGTAAAAGAGGAGTTTGAAATTTTAACAAAGATGATGGAGAATAATGCCATTATTTTTGTTAGGTTAAAAAAGTCCTTAGTTATTAAAGTTATGATTTGATCACTGAACTTTCAAAAATAACGATTTAGTCTCTGTACTATAAAATTTGTTACGATTTCGTCTTTACTCTAACAGAATGTTGGGCTGATGTGTATAAATTAAAATCCATCTGGCGAGTTGGTTCAACATCGCTTCCGTTCGGTTCACATCTAAAACAATTTAGGGCTTTAAATAAATATAATAATGAAGTTTGAATCACACTTTTCCTCACGACTCCTACCCCTCTCACCTACGACTCCATCATTCTGGTCTCTTCCAGAAATCTTCGCTCCTTTTTTCAGGTCATCTCATCTCATCTCAATTTGAATTTTCTATTTTAGCTCCTTGAATTTGTCATTGTCTCCTTTTATGTGGACTGGAGTTTTTTTTCTTTAGATTTTGTATTTTTTGCTTCGTAATTTGATTGTGTTTCTTTTTGTTTCTCTCACTTTATTGTCGAAATTTTTGTATTGTATTCTTAAAGCTAATTTTTCTTTGAATTGTTGTATCTTTAAACCAATCATGTTTGTAGGTAATTCTGAATTAAAGTGTTCTTTGAATAATCACATTGAAAAAATCATTTTTTTTAGGATTTATTAAAATCCAAAATTCAAATTCAATTTGAATTTGAAATTGTTGGGAAATTGAAGACCCTGAATAATTTCTCCTTCCACAGAAATATCCAAAAACAACCAAAGTATATGAAAATAGAAAGAAAACTGTAAAAGCACAAGAATAACGACACAACAAATTATATTGGTTCACCACTAAGGGCTACGTCCAGTCTTCCACTCAGATGTGGGTAATTCACTAATAATTGTTTAAGGATTAGAATACAAAACTCTCCCCAAAAATATCCCCTAGAGGTCCCAACAAAAGCCCTCTAGCTTCTAAGTATTATAACACACTATACTTAGGTACACGAATGAAAAACACTCACTAAACCCACCGGATACAGAATCCTTTTCAACACTGCCCACAACCACTCAAGTCTCTTTTATTTGGATTCTGTACAAATGAAACCTTAACATAAAGGCTCTATTTATAAGAGGCCAAATATCCCAATTCTTATAGGAAAAGAATATTGTAATCCTTATAAGACAACAATATCCTACTCCCGGTAGNTGAATTTTTGTCTAGTAAGACTTTGAATTTTCAATTATGTATATAATAGGTCAGACATTTCTTAAAACTCAAGGGCTTATTTTTTTTTTTAAGTTGAATGATCTATTAGATATAAAATTGCAACTTCAAAAATTTATTGGACGCATCTAGAATTTCAAGGATCTATTAGATATAAAATCAAAAGTTTAGAGACTTATTAGACATTTTTCAAGTTCATGGACATATTGGATACAATTTAAAAAATGTAAGGACTAAACTTGTAACTTAACCTTCTAAGTTTATATGTCTCTTTTATTGCAGTACAATTATGGTGGAATTGGAGCAAGGGAGGATGAAACCACAGATGTTGAATCTCAAGTTGACGTAGTATCCAACTGGAACATTGCTGAATATCTACCGAAGAAGATTCAGGTATCCTTACTACTAGAGCCTTGCAAAGAAATACTGTGCATTATCTATAGCAAGTAATTTTTCCCRTTAAATTTCGTCAGATAGGATGACTTTGGAATATTTTAAAAGGACGTATAGAGAATGAGTTCAAATAATAGGTGCTACCTACCGAGATCATTTGAAGTCCTACAAGTTCTATCTGCAACCAATGTTGTAGGATCAGAACAGTATTCTTGTGAGACTACTTGAGATTAATTTGTCAGGTTTTCTTCTGCTCRTTGTAGGACTCCTTTGTTTCTATCGTTTCTCAATTTGTATATATTCCATGGAAATATGCAACCGAGCAAGCTGCAGCAGGCACATCCTTGCAGCGGGATGACACGTGTACCCCATCCGTTACTGTTGTAGCCACTGAATCGTTTGAATTAAGCGTGACAGAATATCTCAAAGAGCAGGTATTAATGCTCTTCTGCTGCAAGTACYATGAGGTCTTTTTCCTTGATTTTTGTCTTTTAAGTTTCTTATTTAGCTATTTATGATATTCTTCTTGATTCTCAGCTAAGTTCTTACTTCAGCCACCAACTGTTTGGTATTGTTCGTGATTTACTAAAACAACCTTCTGGTAGTGTTCATAAAGGAGATGCTGCATTGGAGTTCATTAATTACGTCTGCGCTGCTTTKGCTCTAGACCAAAATGTCCAGAATGATGTTCGGGTATTACCATCTTAATCCAGGCTTCATTTTTAATTGTGTAGTACAGTAATTTAAATTTTTAATGTGACAAGATTATTAAATCTAAGGTCAAGTATATAATAGTCCATGTGAAATAACTATAAGTATTTACTAAGTTAAAATTAGTTTGCTTGTTTTTTAACCTTTCAAGTTCTAGTTACCATCCTCCTTGACTGAGACCATAGGGGTTTTCAGTCTCATCTTCGCTAGATGCTGTCTTTGGGGAAGCCATTGTTTCATTTTTTCCATTGTCCTTCAATACGAGAATTGTCTTACTTTCATTGTAATGTTTCATAGAACAAACTTAGAATCCAAGAGATACCTAAAATAAAAAGAACTTAAATAGTTTTTACTCGGCCGGGTTAACTCACATTGTAGGGAGGAGTTGTTAAACTCGGTTTAAGAGGAGAAACCAATACGTTTGAACAATAGCTTACTAGCCAAAGTAAACATAGCTTAACGATTAAAACATCTCCTTTTCTTGAGATTGGAGGATCAAGTCTCCCCTCTCACTTGAAAAACAATAGCCTACTATTCAAGTCTTCGATACTGTTTTTCTAAACTTATGCTTTCCAAATAATTCAGTTCTTTTATTAGTACAATAAAGGTAGGACGAGGATTTAGACCTGGAGTTGACGTCTTAACTGCTGAGCGGCTCATGTTGGCATAATTCAAAATAATAATTGTGTTATTAATATTTTCCTTACTCTGTAGGTAATGAAGAAGAATTTACTGAAGTATGTGCACGTAAGAGAGTTTGCACCAGAGACTGAGTTTTCCGATCCCTGCCCGTCCTTCATCTTACCCAATGTCTTTTGCAGGTATGCTACTGAAAAATAGTTTGCTAATGAAATATGCAAATAAAAATCGGCAAAATCTTCTCTTTTTATTCCCAGATTTTCGTTTCGTCTATTTTTTTTTGTCTTTTATAGTCACTGGATATCATGTAATTAGCTTAAATCCTGGTCCCTGACTTAAATTTTTCTTTTCTTTTCTGGTTCTTGATTTTTCAAAAGGTCAATTTTGTACCGTAACCGGAAATAAGTAAGAAGATTTGAAATTTTGTGATATTCTGATCTTGAACTTTCAAAATGGTTCTCAAATTATTTTGACACTAATATTCACTCTTCTAATACTCGTACCTTAGCCAATATATGCATCCACATCAACACATTAATGCACATTCTTGAAGTTTTTTTAATACAAATCGTTGAAGTTACTTAATTTGTGAAAASTACAATAAATATAAGGATTAAAATGATTCATATATATATAGATAATTTAAACCTCAACATTAGAAGCAAATTGCTCAAATTCTTAGGCTTTGGTATTGGTGGTGAGCGCAGCTACTGTAACGAGTGTCGAGATTTGGACTTGTGCCGCGACTCAGCCTTAGGAGCACAAGAATGGCGCTGTGGTKTGGCAGAGTGTGGGCAACCATACAACCAACAAGTGATAGAGAACACTTTGATTCAAATTGTGCAGCAGCGAGAGCGTGCGTATCACGTGCAGGATTTGGTATGCCTTCGATGCAAGCAGGTTAAAGCGGCTCACTTGTGGGAGCAGTGTAGCTGTGCTGGCTCGTTTAAATGCAAAGATGACAATCAAGAATTTTTCAGCGACATGCGGATTCTCTTCGACATAGCCACTCGTCAAGGCTTTCAATTGCTCCAAGAGTTCACTTTATGGATCTTGCATAATGGGCTCCTATTGGAATCCTCATCCGGCGGAGCATAGTTTAGTAGCTACACCATCGGTTCTGAGAGTYGTAGATTTGAATTTTCGCGCCATATTTATAATGTAATATTCTAAAAGAAATAAAACGTAGGTGCATGGTATTCCTACTTTTTTTTCCTAGCTATTTATTTAGTCCGAGTACCTAAATCTTGAAGTTGTATATAAATTTATTTATCAATAAAATTGAATATGTTTTAGGCATATTCTTGATTTGAAAGATATTTGCTTATGTATTTGTCMATGGCAGGTTTAGCCCTTTAAAGTGGAGTCAGATTGAGTAAATTAGTTCTTAATGATAGTGAACTATCGATCAAGGTAAATTACATTTTTATTTTTATTTTTTTTCTGAGAAATACATTTTGATTTATTAGTCACTATTAAATATTGTGTTATGTTATGAAGTTTGAACTCGGACAAGTTCATAGTCCAAGTTTAAAACTTTTTTAAGAAATAGTTTTGAATAGTTTTCAAATTTTGTARGTTAGATTTGAATTTAASCMCTTCTAGCCAAATAGAAATATTAACTCAACAATGACATTGTTTGTTTGGTAGAAAATTTAGAATGAAAGGGATTCAATGAATATTTGACATAATTGTTTTGGCGGTAATAAATACACTATTTYAAATTATAAACTTATTTCATTTTTTTTAATTAAAACATGTATAATATAATATATTCTAAATTATATCCTATYGTAAAGTATTAATTCTRACAAAAATGAAAACRAAAGTTTCACTTTCATCMATAAAGTTTAAAACATTTATATTAATAAATTAATTAATAATATTTTAGATTAGACTAAATAATTARTTACATTTATATTAATAAATTAATTAATAATATTTTAGATTAGACTAAATATTTAGTTGGTAACTAATGAATTACCAATATATTAAAACAGATAATACAACCTTAGTAATTTTTTTTACTCCAATCAATTCAAATTCTCATCTTTGGTCGATAATATTATAAATATTAGTAGTAATAATAATAAGAGACTTCTACAATATGTTAAAAATAACATATACTTATTTTCAGGATGATCCAATCACCCAAGGAGGGGAGATCGATAACATTGTATTATTGTATTTTTGCTGAAGGATAATTTACGTAGTAAAAATTAACCATTGTTAAATATTGTCTTATTAAGATATTTATATTTAGAAACGTAGATGTTAACAATCAAGGCATAGAGTGAAATTTGTCATCAAAAATCCCGGGTCAATATGAAGGGGCTAGCTGAGCTGATATTGAAATGCAAATGTTAACCTTCCCATCTAATCAAGGGATGGACCATTCATATTATCAGTTAAGACATAAACATATCTTATGATGATAAAGGCACTTGAAAGGGCAACATTCAGTCACATTAAAGCCACGGCAATGTCATGTTTGTATTACAGTGAAGTCTTTAAGCGACATCAAGTTCATTTTCTGTCTTTCTATAAGAGACTTGCAAAATATTCAATGATACTATAACTTCTCCAACCCCCATTTCAGCGGGCCTCATACTGAACAACTGCAGTAAAATGCAAGAATCGGATTAGACCTCAAATTTAGAACTAGGAAAAATTCATGCAAGAGACGCAGAAATTGATGCAACATGCCTTTTTTTAATGACAACACCATACTCAGAGGAAACGGAAGGATATACAACAAGCAATATAAAAATCCAGCCCACATCAAACGTGGTCRAAAAAAAACCAAAGGCAGAATGAACTACAAATAAGAACTTCAATGACTGAGAATTAAATAAAAGATAATGCAATATGCATGTTTGACCCGCCCACAGAGAGGGAATCTGCATTCAACTCAAGACTAGTAATTAGAGAGCATCCCAAGTCATATAGGATCACCAGGAGACCCCACGAAATACTTTTGTCAGTCAATTAAACACCAAATATTTTAGATTAGATTCTGCTTAAATACATCACGTATATGCTAACTGAAGACAACTAGATCCAGCTAATCAACAGTTGCAAATATGTGCAATCCATAAACAAAACTTCAGAACACACCGAGTTAATAACATGATTTTAGAATTTGAGAAGATCCATCTTTTTTTAACTTTAAATGTGCTCTGGAAAAGGTAAACAAAGGTTAAAGATTAGAAAGAAGGCCTCATTGAATATGGAAATTGAAAGTGAGTTCTAGGAATTTCAGAACAAATAGATGCAAGTGAAAACATTTCTGATTATTCAACTCATGAAAAGTAGTGAAGTGGATATGGAGTGCTCAAACAAGTGGGGTCTTAAATKGAACAAGTGGGGTCTTAAATGGAATGCAATCAACTTTAGAATCAGACAAACTAAGTAAAAATCTGTCCAAAGCTATCAATCAGTGTTTGACCAGATTGTGAAACTAACCATCTTCAGTATCCACTAATACCAAAGAGTTCGTTTATTTCTTTTTAGCTTAATGAGGAAGATCATTGTATCCATAGTTGGCACTCATTTTCATTTACTAAACTAAGAGGCTTGCTCACCCCCACTGAGTCTTTTATACTTTACGAATAAATAAAACAGCCCACCTCTGTCACTTATTTCATATAAAATTTATGGTCAAGCATATGAAGAATCAAAACCAACTTCTTGGACGACATTTAAAGTTCCAAACATCAGTACAGACTAGTAAATTAACTAAAAGGTCAGATTTAGAAATGGCATATTCATAGTCAACAAACAAAAAGAAAAGAAAAACAGATCTATTAATGATGTAAAATATATCTTACTGCGACGGGTGCGCTTCTTGTAGAGAATACGATAACCACACTCTCGGCATTGTATAACATCACCCTGCTTCAGGGTATTCTCCATTCCACAATCTACACCAATTATACAGATTATTTATCACTCAAGACCTCAAAATATAGTTATAGAAGTGAATGTTCAGTGCAAGTACTTTAAATATAAACTCAAATCWTCAAACTTCTACATTCCCGATGATATAATATAACAAAAATATGCACCCGATGGCAGGGCTTAAAAACCTAAACATTAGGAAGATTTTGAAGCATGGAATCAGTAAACTCAACARGCGCACCTCCACAGATGTAGCTGACTGGTTCAGGTTGAGGATCCATGAGTCAAACTTTAAAAAGCTTCCTAATTCCCCAAAATAAGACGAAAATCACCAATATTAGGTCAAATTTCAGCGAGAAAAAAAAAACTGAAATAACACGATCAAAATCCCCACAAAAGTTTTTATGTTTCGAGATATTTAGAGTAACAATTTCCACGACAGAGATATGGAAGGAACGTACCAGAGCCGAAGACAAGAAGATCCGTTCGATTATTTAGAGGAAAAAAGCGAAAGCAGACGCTGGTCCACTTTAAATAGGGCAAGCTTGTGCATAARAGGCGAGAAGAACGCCCTAGTTTCGCTGCTAATAAAAAATGGCCACGTGTACACTGAGTCGGTTCGCGGGCAATTTCACGGATGTTTCAGACGTTAAAATAAAGCCACATTTTATAATGAGAATTGAGAACATCCATTTATGATCGAAGAACATTAATTTTCAATTCAACTACTTAATTAGATTCTTGACCATTTAACTTTTMTAAATTTTTATAAAAATATAATAATTGTTATATTAGTGGTACTCRTCAGTTGGATCACCTGAATCGGATTTATGTCGTAGAAAAGTAGTTGATTTTTTTTACAGCAGAAGAGTTATTGGTTGTTTCTAGAATAGTTGTTTACGAAAGTTATTTTTGTTCGTTTTGGCCGTTTTTAGAATAYGATCGTAATATTAGAAGTATAAGGAGAGAGTATATATTTTTAAATATGCTATTATTTTTTTATTTTTATAAAAATAGCATATCGCGTCACTTCCTATTTTTACTGTTGTTATGTTTACAAATTTGAAGATATGCTCGGTAAATTTGCTATTTTTAAAAAACGCGGGTGCRGTATATGTATAAAAGTTAATATTATTTGTATTTATTAAATATTTTTGGGGCTGACTCAGTCGCAGTCATCCCCAGTTCCTTGTCCTCGTGCTTCTTCACTATTTTCTTTCAATAATTTCCCATAAGAAATCAAATTTGGGCTCTGTAGACTTCGGAGATGATTTTTATATCACAAAACTGAGAAATTGTTGCTGTTCAAAGCTGATGAAATTTCTTGGAAATTCGTTGCTTCCGCATTATTCTAATTCCACTTGTTCAATGTCCTCGTTATAATGAAAAAATAGAATTTCCGACGCACTATTTTCTCCCGCTTGTTTCGATGGAAGTTAGAATTCCAAGGTGGAGTTGATTTCGTTAATTACAGGTTGATTTTCGAGATCTTCGTCCGGTCGATCGTTTTTCCGTCGGAGGGCGATTCCGGGCGGTGGCGAGAATTTTTCAAACCCCTCGGTGCTTGGAATCCTCTCATCTGATGAAGTCTTTCGACACAACGCCAGAAAGGCGATCGTCTTTTTCTGAACCCGTCAGCTCAATCAACAGTCCTTTTTATTCAGATGGTTCTCCCTATTCTTCCGGTAATAATCAATCTCCTCTTGCTCTTGGCGCCGGCGCCGCTCTCTATCTCTCGGACTGATGACGAATTCATTTGTGCAGGTAAAGAAATTTCAAAATTAGGTCACAAGAAACAGTTAGTCAGGAAACGAGGCGGATTTGTTTTCCGGATTTACGACCATGGTAAGGATCAATAGTCTTTGTTGTCAAAATTCATTGAACACCACCTGTTTGTAGAAATGTCATCGGAAATTTATCACGTATAATTCAATGGAATGAAGGTAACCTTGTGTTTTTGCGAATCTTCAGTGAAGTTGGGGCCTAAATTCTCAGTTACGGCCAAAGGGAAATTGAGATTAGGGGCAAAAATTATACAACAAGGTGGTATAAAGAACATATTGAAACAGGTTTTCGGAATTCTAGAAGGAGAGAAGCTTTTGAAAGCCTCTCAATGTTACTTATCAACAAGTGTAGGACCCATCGCAGGGCTTCTTTTCATATCCACAGAGAAGGTTGCCTTCTGCAGCGACCAAAGAATCACTTTCTCCTCACCAACAGGAGAATTGCTCAAAACACCTTACAAGGTAATCTTTTAAATTCACGCATCCAGCTGTGGCTTGGCTCAGAATGATTATGTAAAAAAGTTTCTGCTATTAGACACATATGATGAGATTGCATACAATTCATGTTTGATTTTTGGTTTCAGAAAAGGGAAGTTAATGGGTTCTAGGAGTGGAAGATTCATAGATAGAAACTTCATGTACTTTTTGGATAGTTTTTTTTTTTTCCCATTTTAGTTTGAAAAATCACCAATTTTTTGTTAGAAAAAAGTGATAACAGAACAACTAGCCTGATAGTGTCTAGGAGCTCTTATGTAATTATGCATATGTACTTAATAATTATCCTGAATTTTGATGAAGGCTAGGACCGAAGTTTTATTTGAAACTATCTAATCAGCGAAGTTTAAATACCATATTGACACTTGAAGGTAAGGGTACAGCCATAACTTTTCGTAAGGGGAATTTTACACTTTAACTTTTTATGTATATATTACTGCAGTTTTAAGAATCGAGATGGTGCGAATTAGGTTCTTCTTTTGTTCTGGCTCTGCCCCTGCTTGAAAATACTGGAATAAATTTCTATCTTGGGGAATAACTTAAAAGTTTCCAGTCCAAACAACTTTTTGTATACAAGTAAAAAAACCAAGCAGTTCGTTCTAAAAATCTTGGAAAGATTTCTTAGGACACTTGAGATATGTAATAAAGATATATGTAATAAAGATGCCCTTTGAAAACAAAAAGGTGTGTGCTTTTCTGCAGGTTTTGATACCATTAAAGAATATCAGAAAAGTCAGCCGAAGTGAGAATGCCGATGAGCCAGCAAAAAAGTACATAGAAGTGATAACAGAGGACGACTTTGATTTCTGGTTTATGGGATTCTTGAGATATGAAAAGGCATTTACGAATCTTCAGAAGGCCATTTCCATGGCTAACAAACTGTAACAGGTTGTATCATGTAAGTAAGAACCATCTGGTAAAAAGAAAGTATGTGCTTTTGGTTCTCATTTAGATGAGTGTTTGAAGTTTGGAAATATTTTATAGGGGATTTCACTTGCTTTCATCTTTAATGTCTCAGCTGCTTGTTTTTGCCTTGATGTGAATTTTCTTTTGTTTGTCCTGGAGTGGTTAATACCTTAGGTTGGTCGTCCCAATGGAATTTAAACATGTGAAAGTATTTAGATCAAATTGTCCTCTTTTTTTACTTTATTTCATAAATTAAGTCATTTTCTTCTAATTTTAATTTTTTAGGGATTCGAACTTTTGATGAAGTTATAAACACTCAGTTGAATTATATTCAAGTTAAGCAACTATATTTGAACTTTGAAGGAAAGGAGTGAGGATGGATAATGAATACTTGGTTGATGATATTTCTTTAATTTCTTTTTTTTTTAATTGAAAGCTTAATGCCTTATTCAAATAATATTTTTATAATAAAAGTTATATAGTTGTATGGAGCAGGTAACATGTAAGAGAGACTGAGTAATTAAGTTCAAATATTATCAAAAGAGAGATTGTAGTAAAAGAAAACGTGCTTTGAGAGAGTGGTATAGGAGGGGAAAAGCTTGTAATTCATAAAAGGACGAAGAATTGAACCTCCAACTTTTAAAAAGTGAACAATATATCTTAACGAGCTATAATTAAACGAAAGAAAATTAACACACAAAATAAAATTACAGATTAAGCTAAAATTTTCTCCCCTAAATTTGTATTATTAGAGACAATTTTAAAATAAGAATAAACTAAAAATTTTTACTGAATAAAAATAAACCAAGCGAATTTTTTTCCCCATATTGTTATTATTATTTAAATTGATCTTTAGAGTTGTGTTGCAATTTTTATCCTGGTTCAATTTCCACTAATTCAATTAGTAATTTGAAAAAAAAAAGTAAATATTTAAAGTAACTAACTAATTTCAATCAAAATTAGTATTCGCACATCTATATTTTTTAGTAGCACCTAATTAAAACCTAATTAAATTTGATTAATGAACAAAATTAACAATGAAATAGTTTTATCAAAATTCACCATTTTTCTAAAGCGAGCTCCAATATTATTTTTCTCTCAAATCCTATAAATTTAATAATAATAATCAACCATCCATATATTTTACAATACATTGATCACAGATAAGAATAAGGTAATTCTCGGATGAAATTGAAAATTTAAGTAAAATGAAAAAAAAATTAATTAATAACCCGATATTTTATTAATGACTGTATCATTTCACGAACTCGTAATTATTACATATTACACATACATTATTGATTATTCTCTCTGCTTCAATTAAACTTTCTTGAACATAACGGGAAATGGCGTATCGCTCAGAGCGAGAGCCCTGTTTCCGTTCTTGATGAAGATCCCCACATCTTTACAAATAACTTTGCAGAATTTACACACACTTGGACAGAACACGAACTTGTAATCCTTACCGTGCTTCTCAATTTTGAACCAATTGTCGAGCGTCTCTTGCCCTGGATTTCCCCTGATTCCGCCGATAGCCACCAACCACTGTCTCGTCGATTCGTCGAATTTGTCCAGCTTCCACACCGTCGATTTGGCGCACACCGTGCTCGCCTCGAATTCCACGTTCAAATCCGTCGAAACTCGAACCACGCCTTTCTTAGGGTTTACAGGCGCAAATGTCGCCGGAAGACCGTTCGATATCTCGAATTGTTCCTGAACGACGTGTAGAGGACATTTATCGTGTCCGATGTTGCCTAGGGTTAGTCCACCGCCTCTTCCGCGGATTACAGGGAGGATGTAGTAGTTCACGCCGGCTCGGAGCTTCTTCCCGTCGATGTCGAGGACGGCGTCCGGCGAGGCGTCGGATTTGCAGATGCGGACCTCAGTAGAGGCAATGAGAGCGAAGAGGAAACAGAGTAATGCGAAATTCTTCATTTTATTTTTTCTTCTGATCAGTGGTTTTTTGTGTGCATGATTTGGGATTGAAAAAGGTCCCTATTTATAGGGAATTGCTGGAAATTATTTCCCCGGCCGGAGGCCGCCAAGGCCAACGCGCTATTCTTTTAAAATTTTATTTTTGTGAATTGGAAAATGGATTTTTTTTTTCTCTTTTAAGTTGAAATCGGAGAAGTTGACCAGAATTGTGCCACGTGGAGGAGAGCGTTGGTACCCCGTACCCATGACCGCACCCTGAAGGGTCAGGAGAGAATGACCTGGACCAGGCAATCCGACGACAAGGCTATGGTCGAAAGCCCTCCGACCACATGCCGTCCCGAATAAAGCAACTAGCGGTTAGGTGTACTTTTTCCCGATACACAAGTCAGACCCCAATACTAACTTGATGAGTATATATTCCCTTTTTGTAGGTATTTCGATATCAGAAGACACGAGACGTTTTTCAACCCTGAAGATCTTGCTGACTACTTACCTGATCGAGTTGGACCTCCACTCAATTTGTTGCACAACATGTTGTAACTTTTACTTTTTATTAATTATTTATAAAAACTTTTAACGAGGGAAAATAGACCCTAATTTTAATAAATTCAGAAGATTAACTATTATTACTTTAACGCATTTGTATTTCATATATATTATTAAAAAAATTATTTGTGTATATTTTTTTTCTGGTTATATAAGAAAAACTTAATAATCTTCGTCCAGAAAGCATAAATAAAAGAGGAAAAATGTCAGCATAGTTTAATTTGGTACTCTAATAATTAACTCTATATTACGAGATAATTAATCACTATAATTATAGGGATAGATAGCTGGTTCATTATCTATTTTGGGAATAATATTCTACTTTATACTAAAACTTATGCAAATACATTTTGAACTATTCTTTACAAATTATTTCTTTATTCTTGTTTGCGCTTACGCTTTTGATCAAAAAATTTTAAAATATTTGTGAAAACTGTAAATTATAAATTAAAAAATCATTATCAAAGTTTTTCAATTTCAGAAATCCATGGATCCACACCAAATATGAAAAACAAAGTTTTTGACCAAAGCCAATAGAATAGAATAAAGATAATTCAACTATATATATCGAAATTGATAGTCAAAAAATATTTTTGAGCCTATCATGTTCTAAGATCGACACGTCGGATTCATTAGTATAGATAATTTTAATATATTTAAAGTCAAATATTTGCCCGTCACGTGATTGCAATTAGTAGCTATATATAAAGATGATGTGTTTGGATATTGGAAATTGTTGACTTTGAATTCTATACATCAAGGAAGTTTCCTTCTTCTCTACGTTTTAAATGGATAATATTTTCGAAATAAAAATAATTTTATATGTATTTTTTCAATTCTAAACAAATTTTATTGGCATTTAAACTGACAAATGAGACATAAAGTCCATTGTTAAAACTTTGTCCGGTAACAAAACAGAATGGCTTCACARTTACATTTAACAATAATATCATTGCTCTACTTTCAAAGGAAGCCAAATTCCAATCATACCTATATATTTTATTGCTTAAAGTCTAATCCTCTTCCTATATTTTTTTTAAACAATGGGAATTATACTTTCTCGTAGCAAACAAACAAACAATTAATTTTGACCTCTTTATAGTTTGTATGAAAGTTTGTTGTTCTAAAGGAATCCAACTAAATATATATTGAGATCGAGATAAGAGTGAGATACATTATCATAGAATGTCCATTGCTTAGTGTCTAAGAACCACGTGTCTTATTGCCCATTGCTCCATTTGTTTAGCTACTATTTTTAGTGTAATTATTTATACCTTATGCTGTCCAAATTGTCTATGAATAGAGATTTTTATGATTCATGAAAAACATTGAAAGAAGGAAGATATCAATGGGAACATAAAACCAATTTTCATATTTACCAATTTAATAATTTCTTCTCTTTTTTTTTCCTCTCGTGTTTCTCAATTTCACAACTATCTGGACTTTTTCGCACTTTTTTTTTTTTAAGAAGTAGAGTATGAAGAATATGTCTAGATGAGAATCATGGATCACATTAGAGAAATTTTGTTGTTTTTTTTATCAACATTATTTGTTTTTTGAATAAAAATGCGATTAGATATTAATCAATGGATAGTATATATTAGTACAAAATATAAATAGCACAAAGAAACATTATTATCACCCATCATTTAACAATAAATAATTGAAATATTTATTACAATTTTTATTAATTTAAAATGATTAATATTAATATTATAAAAATTTTTTCTTTTTTTTTTTCATCGAAACATCTATCATTTATTTCTTCTCTCAGTAATTAACCAAGATCTAAGAAATTCTAATATTAATTAAGGAGAAAATGATATTTCAAAAATTTGTGAAATTAATATGAGATCTAAAGAAGTAGGATATATTAACTAAAGAAAAAACTAAATTTAAAATTTTTTTACACAAGACGACATTCAACTCTAGAGTCTTGATAAAATTTCGAGTACTACGGGAGAGTACCGTACTCCCTTCTATTAGCTGCTTTTTATATTATAAATAATGTAAAATCCATGTCTTTCAATTATCGCGTAAACAAAAAGAAGTATAATAATCTCAGTATTGAACTTTTTCCCTCTAGTCTCTAACATCACGTTAAACTATCACCAACAGCTTTTTAACGGCTTCTTTTTGCATATTTTCTAACCAATGGAGAGTCATTCAAATTACTGTCTCGCTTGTATTTATGATGGAACCCGCATTTCTTCAACATCACTTTGGTTGCTGCAACCTTTGTCGATACCGCAGTTATCAAAAACGACACGTCGAATCGGGTCCAAGGCTTGCCATTCAAGATCCATGTCAAAGGACCTGGGCAGAAGCTCATGATCCAGATATGATCAGATTCCAAAGAATTAAAACATCTTTCAAAAACTATAGTTTTCTCGTGATTGATGGAGACAACAACTCCACATGAAAATTTTCCAGTAGCTTCACCACTGTCCTCAGGTCCGAAAACTGCATAAAAAAACCAGGTTGCAGGCTTCCCATATAAACTTGAAGCAATCTGGAGAGCAACTGAACCTTCTGCACCATGAAAATCAAAACATTCTGGAACTTCACTTCCAGGAAGTTTAATATCAACCATGGATCCCTGATGCATAAGAAAAAACAAGTTCAAAATACGCGAGAGAGAAGTTATTCGTGCACTTTTACGCTGTATAAGTGATTTTTTCTTCTATTATATATCTAACCGTTATGAGAGTAACAGACAGAACTTCCAGAGATACACTAACCTCACTAGATGAGAACTTCACTGCATCATTACTCTGATTCTCAACCAAATTTTGGCAATTAGCGAAGGATAAGACTAATCTTAAAGGAGTTTCTGCATTGAGCATAATAAATTCAGACAATTGTGAGTAACTTTCCAGTGATTTACAATCATCTGCACAAAGATATAACAAATTGGAAGGGAGCTTTGGAATTTCTCGGAGTTTCGAGCAACCCATAAGATTCAAGAGTTGTAGATGCTGCAATTCGCCAATGCTACAAGGAAGAACCTCCAGATTTTTGCAGAATCCTAAGTTTAAAGTTTTAAGTCCAATGAGATTGCTGATTGATAAAGGTAGGTCTCTAATAGCAGCCTTTTCCAAATGTATACCTTCAATATATTTCATTTTCTCTAGAATATTAGGAAAAGCCTCAAGCTTTGAGCAGTCAGCAAGGAAAAGATTGCTCAGTGATTTCAACTTGATGTTAGGTGGAAGTCTCTGAAGGCTAGAACAGGACAAGAGGCTTAAAGTAGCAAGCTTTTGAAGCATACCAACAGATTCATGAACCTCTACTAAACTTGTGCAGTGATTCAAGTCTAATGTCTCAACATTTGGGATCCCTGAAAAATCAGGGATTTCAACAAGGAACTTGCAGAAGCTAAGATCCACAATCTTTAAATTGTTAAAAACCTGAAAAATCAGGTAAAATAAATCAAAATCTAGGTTAAGGTACTCTAGTATATAGCAGTATGTAATTAGTTATATGATGTTTTTGAGTGAAGTTAATACCTTGAAATCCTTCCACAAGTACTCGATGCGACCGTGCCACAAAATAAGAGCAACTAGTTTCTTGGGATGGAAATTTGAAGGCAAACAGGCACAAGGGTATCCAGACCATTTCAATAGCCTTAACTCATTGGGAAGATATTCAAGTTTCCCAGATAGATGGGCATCGTGTATCATTAGTATTCTGAGCCTTCTCATTTCTGAAAAGGCTTCTGCACTTATGCATATTTCATTTGCCTCTGGCAAATCTAATTTGATGCCTTCAATATTATGTGTCCCCTGTTGTCATAAAAAAACATGAGTTGAACTTTTCAAAAAACAGGAGAATAACTTTTTCCCCAACATATAAGCTCTAGATTGATCAGAAATATACACAGAAGAATTGAAGTAATTCTTACCATGTTTTCAGATAGTACATGTGCAACATCCTCTTCGAAGCACAGTCTACTACGTTGACCCGGGAATCTCGGGGATTCTTGACGAACAATTTCCCAACCCATCTCTTGGAGCAAGTCATGCATCCAGAGCTTGTTGTACTCGATTGTTACAAGACACTTATCGACGAGAATTCTGATTCCATTATCTGCATAAAAGTCACAACCATCTAATACATTTACAACATGATCTTTGTTTTCTCCCTTAAAGAAACAAGCAACATCCAGAAAAATTGACTGCTCATTGTCCTCCAAGCCATCAAAACTTATTTTGAGCACTTCATATATTCTTTTATCAGGAATTCTTCTCAACTTATCTAAAGCACTCTTCCATTCTGATATTCTTCTACCACAGAGAAATGAGCCCAATACCATCAATGCAAGTGGAAGGCCTTTGGCATAATTTAAAACAAAGGAAATGAACTCCTCGTACCCTTTTGGAGGACAAGGATTCCTGAAGGCATGCGAGCTGAAAAGCCTAAGAGAATCTTCATTACTTAATTCCTTGACTTTATATGTGTATTGAACTCCATGGGAAACTAATAAATGATCATCTCTTGTAGTGAAGACGATTCTACTTCCTGAACCAAACCAATCGTGCCCACCAGCTAATGCCTCCAACTGCTCGGTTTGATCCACATCATCAAGTACTAAAAAGACCCTTTTGTTTCGGAGCTTGTTTCTTATCACATTAATTCCTTTATCAGTGCTTCCCAATTTTACATTATCACACCCGAGTGCTTCGTATAGAAGTGCTTCTTGTAAATGAATTAGGCCAAGTTTCTGCTTGGATTGCTCTCTAATATTTGCCAAAAAGGTGCAACTCTCAAACTGATCTGCTATTAGGTTATAAACAGCTTTAGCAATTGTTGTCTTGCCTATTCCACCAATCCCACAGATCCCAATCATGCGAACATCGTCTGACTTCGTATCCAGTAACATATATAAATCTTGAATGCGAGATTCTAATCCAACTGGATACTTAGCAATATATAGCAATGTGCAGTTCAATTTATTTAAAGTTTCTTTTACAACATCTTGAAGGAACTTGGACTCTGGCCTACCGATTACAAAATTTCCATATTAGAAAAAACAAAAACAAGATATTTGAGCTCTTAATACTAAAGCAAAAATCTGACAAAAACAATACATGTAGGGATCAGACAGAAGTACCATTGAAATAAGCCCATCATGAGATTGTGATATTGGTATTGTACAATAAGATCTTTGGAATAGAGCTTTACAAACATTTAAGGAAAGGGAGGAGGTGCTGTCGAACATTTTTTTGGGCGGACTTTTGGTATTCTCTTGGCTCGTAATAGTTTTCGTCATTCCATTGTTTGTTTAGAGACAAGGAAGGAATGTTGTGGAGGATAGTCTATCTTGCGATTTTGTGCAACATTAGGCTCAGAGAAACAAGAGAATTTTTAGAGGAGTGGAGATGTTTTGGGAGAGGTTTGGACAATAATTAGATTCAAGGCCTTCTTTGGGTGTCCGTGACCAAAGAATTTTGTATTGATCATCTGTCTATTGTCCTCAATAATTGGAGCTTTTTTGGTAATAGTTTCTTTCTTTTTGTTTTGTCTCCATTTGTGTTGGGCTGTCCTTTTTCTTGCCTGTATATTCTTTCATTTGATCTATGAATGCATGGTTTCTCATTAAATAAAAACATTTAGAGAGATAAAAGAGTAGCAGTTACCTATTTTGCAAATGCCAACCAGCCAACGTTGCAATTTCAGACAGGGCAGCCCTCCACCTTTGCACTCTATCCTCTCCATTAGAGGACATCTCTTCATGTTTAGCCAAAGCCTCTCCAAATGTCCCGGTCCCACTTCTTACTTCTGATGGATGAACATCATAGAAGAGTGGCAAAACCGTTTGTCGCTTTGATTTTCGACACTCCAAGATCTTTACCAACTCATCTAAACAGCTGGTGGATGATGCGTAGTTCTTAGAAAGCACAATGATTGAAATCCTCGATTCTTCGATGACACTATCAAGCATCGAAAAGATGTTTTCGCCCCTCTGAATGTCGTCATCCATGAAGGTGTTAATCCCCTTCTGGCATAAGGCATCATAAAGATGACTGACAAAACTGTTGCGGGTATCTTTTCCTCTAAAACTCAAAAAGACATCATATTTCCAGGGAGGGGCGTCAAAAGAAGGCAGAGAAGATTTCTGAGTGATCATGGCACCCAATATAGTAAGCTAGAAAGCTTTCAATATCTGATGATCCTGCTTACATTTCCCTGCAGAAGCAAAGTTCTTATAGAGCTTATTCAAGGAGCCTCAAAACTGACAATCGTCATCTTTGAAATCGACTTTATTAATATATTTGGAGTAACGCAATATACATTAAGTGATGTGATGGTTAAACCAAAAGTCAAAACTAGTGAAATAAATTTTGGTACAGAAGCAAGAACAATTTCTCTATTGTTATGAAACCTTCTGAATTTCTAACCAAAGGCAAAAACATGAACGATCTTAGATTCAACTTCCTATAAGAGGAAAACTAACCATACAGATACTTTATAACTAATTTGCTGATATATGCAGAAAATCTGCACTATTTGCAACAACAGCAGCTTCAGGTAAAATCAATTAATAAAATGCTTTTCCAGCATTCTCAAATGACCAACTTCAAAAATTAATAAATATAATGTTAAACTACAACACAAACTTTACACTTGTGCCTAAGTCCTAGACTTTCAATTATTTCGCGTTTAACAACTCTCAAAATTTTAAAAATATCAATGAACTTTCAATTTATTTTATATCTAATAGTAATAACTCTCTAAAATTTCAGTTTTGTTTCCTGTTTTGGTAGGTTTCACCAAACTTGTAATTTAAGTTAAATATAAACATTAAACAATAGTCTTCCGAAAAAAATAATGAAGTTTTTCAATGTTCTTCGAATGGAGATTTTAAAATATTGCAAAAATTCTAAGTTCTTACACCTTAGACAGAGATCGATTGGCTGGTTGAAGCCGCGATGTGAACACGTGCTCCTGACCGGACTGACGCTTCGGATTTTGCGACTATTCAATATCTTCTTACGTATTGACAATGGCAAAAATTGGCTGGTATCGAAACCTCTCTCAGGCAGATAATCAAGCAGAAGGCGTACGCCAACATCCAACCTTTGGTAGTCAGTCGACGACATGATTAATGCAGGAAATTAGGTCCGGTGGCAATCTCAGACGGCCGGAATCAGAAATCGAGGAACTATTCTGACGATCTCGCGATTCTCCACTCTTACAGTGTCGAACTTGCCATATGCACAAGCATACATGCATACTATGTAGTTCATCATCTCAAAACATAAATATGAAAATAATATATTAGTGTAAATTTAAAACTATTTTCCATTTGGTTCCATATTCGAAAATGGAATCTCATCTTAAAATATTAGATGTTAATATATTGGTAAAGAATAGTTGCCCATTACAATCCAAAATAATATTTATTAATTTATTAACATATATATTATAAATGCTGTAGAATTATTATTTTTATAATATTATATAATTAGTCGCCTTAGTTTCAAAAATATTTTTTAAAATCCAATTTTACCTCTTTAACTTTTATATTTATTTTATTTTTAATTCTTGTAATGTTTGTGTTTCCCATAAAAAAAAATTCTCATAATTTTAAATGTTTCATTTATTCTTAAATTTAACATAAAATTTTATTTTAGTCTCGTATTATGCGAATAAAAAAATATATTTATGATTTCTATTAATTTAAGATTTAAAATTTGAAATCAAAGGCCAAATTCCACATTGTAGATTCAAAAATCAATTTGATTTATTTGACCAAATAAAAACTATAAACTTTTTTTTCCAATATCAAATAAGTGAAAGTCAATTGTTAAAAAATTATCTTATACTAATCCTTCAATATTTTAAAGGAATCGTGGGTGTTACCGTATTATAATATCTAATTAAAATTTGGATCCCGTCATGCTAGGCATGCATTGCCTCATATAATCTCACGTTTCATTCTCAATAACAATTAAATTTCAAACAATATTAGTCCATTGGCCCAAACAGAACTAGTTTTCACTTCCATTTCTACCCTTACCAGTTATAGAAAATTACATCAATCAGTTCATCTCCTTGAATTTCAATTCTTTCAAGTTAAGAAATTCACTAAAATCAGCCACATGAGATCAAACAAGCCCCAAACAAGACATGATATAAAACTACATCCATCTAAAGCAACCAACAATTACCATTGATTAGGCGTCTAAAATTTGTTCAAAACATAACATATGTGTCAATAAAATTAGCGTTGAAAGTATTTTCTAAAATAAGATGTGTAAATTTCATGGTTTGGTCTCACTCGAATACTTTTCTATACTTTCCTAGACTTACATCCGCCAACCGACTGATATCGTGTAACCGTGAAAGCTATCTGTTGTTCGGTAAATGCTGCAAAACTAACGAGACATAGCATTTCGATTTTATCCCCTCACCTGCAGGTGCAAACCAAAATGTAGGTTCATCAGAGTTTCAAAATGAAGTTCTTCAATGAGAAGCATCATCTAAGGGTTCCACCGATGTCGGTCAAAGCGCAAAAAGGCCATAGATAGGATACATATAACAACCGTTCATTTTGAATGCTGAAGACAAAAATAAAACAACATGCTTAAAAAACAGGGTACCTTTTGATATCTTCTCAAGTGCGAACAGTCTTTGCCACCACTGTTTCCAAGCCTTCTATCGCGTTGATGCTGCATAGAACATCCAATATCTCCCTTAAAACTAAACTTATTCATTGATTCAGTTTTCTAAGTATAAAATCAAAAAATAGCTGGTCGGTGCGGTTTGAGTAGACTTTTATCATTTTTTGCTGATTTGGTTTGTGTCATCATCTGTTCTATCGGGTGTTCAGTTCAGTTTTCAAAAGAAATTCATTTCTACACCGGTTTTTTTATTTTCCTTATAACCGATATGTTGGTTCAATGTTGGTTGACTTAAAACCAACCAGCCTACCCCCTTAGTTCCCATATACCATCATCATATATAATATATATATTTGGTCATATGTCATAAAAGATATTTCATATTTTGAACGACTCACCTGAAAGTGATATCCCCACTTGCTGTCAATTTCCTGGAGATCCAATCTGGAACCAGCTTTTCCAGCCGCTCAATTTGCTCTTCCACTTCTCCTGCAAGGGAAGAACAGGTAGTCAAGAAAAAATTCAAATCAAGTTAACCTCTAACATTATTTATAAAACCATGCTTACTTCTCTCAGTGACATCAAGGCTATTCATTATAACTTTGTGCACGAGCTCCTCTTTGGTAATATTAGAACAGTTGACAGACTTGAAAATGTCATAAATAACGCGAACAAGTTCAGGCAAGCAAGATGATTCTTGGCAAATTACTCCACTGGTCCGATTCTTTTGGCAATGCCCATCATGATGAAAATCTTTCTTTCGATGGATATCATAGCATTGAAAATCATCCAGACTGAAACTCGATGTGCCAATATCACCTTCCATGCCAGAAAAGTTGAGAAACCTTTTTGCAGGTTTAGACAAACTTCCTGTGCTCTTGACTATCTTCATTTTCACATCAGAACTCGGCAGCATAGATCTCTTCGGTGTCGACTGTGCCGGGGTTTGTGTCATTGTGCTGCTAGAAGCAGAAGTTACAGGCTTGGCAAGAGAACTCTCAGAAGATTCGTCAGCAGCTTGAGGCGAAACTGACTGTGCTGGAAAATCTTCAAGCAAATGATCATTACTGTCCTGTTCTGTCAGACCACAAGCTGCAGTGGATGGCAAATCAACCGCAGAGGGTGCCACAGGTTCTGATATCTCTGCTTTAGGAACAGCTTGCTTAGAGAAATATCTCTTGAATGACGAAGGTGGATAAGATTCTTCAAAATATGAATTGGTTTCTACGGATATTTGCTGAGATTTTTCTGAAGAACTATCAGACGATTGATAAAGAGAGAGCATAAGATTTCTCTGGTTGAAGGGCTCTGGCAGTGGACCCTCTGGAACTTCACTTTTCTGGTTGCCAAATAAAAATAACAGTCAACACGCGTGTAAATAAAACCTTCTCTGGGAAACAAGTCAGAGGTTAGAATGCAACAACATAACAAAAATAAAAAAGTATAGACCTCACTGGTGAATTAGACCCTGTTTCATAATAATTTAGGCCCGATTTAGTAACTATTTTTATTTTTGATCTTCTATTTTAGAAAAATAAGCTTATAAACACTACCTCCACCTATGCATTTCTTTGTTTTGTTATCTACCTTTTTAAAATCTAAATCAAATTTAAAAACTAAAAAAATAGTTTCTAAAAATTTGTCTTTGTTTTTTAAATTTGGTTTTTTAGAAAAAGTGAAAATCATACCAAAGAAATTGTAAGGAATAAAAAGCATAATTCTAAACAAAAGAAATTTAAAAACAAAATTGTTATTAAACATGCCTTAATGTACAGTTTTTTTTTTCTTGTGTAACTGGGGTATGGAGCCCACTCTCCTTGTACATAGTCCATTCCCACTAATTATCGAAAAAATTTGCCCATCCCAAAGCCAACTCTGGGAGACAACAAAAGTTTTAAGCCATCAAATTTTTAACCCGAAGGCTTGAACCCCAGAGATCTTGGAAGAAATCTCTAAACAGCGTAATTTCTTACCACCAAGACAACTCTATAACTCAACAATTCATTATACTGTTGAATGCTTGTATGGCCACACAGATCTCAGTGGATCCAGAAAATAGTCGTTCGTGCTTTTATTTAAACTCAATTGCTTCCTAGTATTTATGTAGAGAAGAGAAGTACCTCTGGATGCAAGACAAAGTATTTCTTTACCCTTGAAGTGAAAAGTGTGCCTAATGCCAGAAAATCAGAATGTTCAGAGTGACCTTCTACAATATCCAACTGCAGACTGATTACCATTTCTGGCTTCATGCATAATGTTCTCATGTCATGAATCATCATTTTCTCAATATTCACTGCCTCTGGAATGATATATACTATCTGTGCTAGATGCCTGTGAAAAAACTTTCTGTAAAAGAAAAGGAAACAACAGTCCAAATTTTAGTATTCGGACTTCTATAATATTCGTACAAGTTGAAACATGAACATGTTAGGAATATTAGTATGGAAATATTAGAAATATTATTAGGATACTAGCAGTAACATAAGGGTAGTTACTAGGGGCAAAGTCGCTATAAATAGAGGAAGTTAGGGAAATGAGGTATAGGCAAAACTCAAAAGAGTAAATTTGGGAGAGTCTAGGCTCTCAGAGTGCATGGTTTTGGTATTAACATCCTAGTATCTAGGCTCTCAAAGTGCATGGTTTTGGTATTAACATCCTAGTAATATTCTTAATATTTCTATACTGATATTCGAATACAAAAAATAAGAGGTAATAGTCTTTGCTCCAAAGAAGTAAAAAAAACTAGCAAAATTTTAGGCAGGGGGGTTTTTGCAATGCTTAGAAGAATTTAAGGTATTTGTTAGAGAAAATTAGGGGCGTAAGTGAATGGGTTTAAGTTGGTTTTGTGCCAAAAGATAAAAAATTATGTCCAAACTATTTTCTTGAAACCAAACTAACCGCCCCACTCAAACCAATTGAACCAACATAAACCAACCAAAAACAAACCGATATGATCAAAACCAAAAAAATCCTCAATTCTTTTAATTTCGACCTGCACCCTTAGAGAAAATGGTGTCATTATAATCTAGTCTAAATACTCTACCTTTTCACATGTGTTCAATTTATCATCTTTCAACCTACCATTTCAATTTGCAACCACGAAGAAACTAGTAGCTCAGGCATGCCATCAATAGATTGCTTGTCATTGATCGGTTAAGTTCAGCACTCAAACACCAGCATAAAAGTTCAACAGAATCCAAAATCAAATGCTATGATATACCTTTTTGTCATAGCCGAAACCATGCAGGATATATTTTTAAAGGTGGACAACTTTTTACGCAGTCCAAGCAACCTCAGTGAGCTAATCATGCAAGAAAATAACCTTACAATGGTTTGACATCTGCAAATAATCAGATGGAGATTTAAGTTATGCCACATTTATAGTAATAAAATGTTGTTTAAATGTTAGTTTATTCTATTTTGCATTATGTTTTAGTCCCTCAACCTTCAATAAATATCATTTTAGTTTTGTCATTAAATTTTAAATAAACCATTTAACAAATAACTAGCATAAATACATCTTTTATTCATTATCCTAATGAATGGATATCTATATGAACAAGTGTTTGAAGCCACATATAGTATGTTAGATGCAAATTCCAATTGTATTTAGATTCTTGTTAAATTGTTAGATGGAACTAAAATAGTTTTTAAGGTAATATGAACTAAAACAAAACATTTTAAACTGAGTATGAACCAAAAAAAGATTTAGACCTAAAACTTTTTAGAAATTGCATTTATTAAATATACCTACTTTTCTTGAACTTTGATCTCTTCCTCCTTCAATTTGCCTTTCAAGTACTCATCTGCTTTCTCTGGTGTCATACATGCAATGTTACAGTCTGAATTCTGGACACCAGAAATTCCTCCCTTCTGTGGTGGAACGTTGAATGGAATTTTTGATTTATCAGTAGAAGGATTAGTTTCAATGGCTGAGACATTTTGACCATCATCTTCAAATGTTTTCTCGCCCATTCTTTAATCGTAGCACAGATTGAATCTAAATCCTTGGAATCACTTCTTTCTCAGAACTTGTTGACTACCTGCAGAAGAGATAACTTTAAATAAAGAAACAAAATAAATCAAAATAAATAAATTCGTCCGACTTTGTGCCACTATATTTGTCAATCTGAAAAATAAATCAACAAGTAAAAATAAACATTTTCAAATTCTCAAAGGATTTCATATGGAATAGTTCCATGAGTAGAACTTTCTATTAATTTTCCGGATCATCCTTCCCAATCCGAAAAATAAGTTCATAATTGGACGACAGAAAATTAGCTAGATGTATTTTCACCCAAAATTAAATTACAGACATCTGATGAAATACATGCTTTTTTCCCAATTACCTGCCGATGAGGGAGAATCTCTCAGAAATTAAAGAAACAGTTGATAGTGGCGAAGAAAGTGAGTGAAAACAAAAAAAAAGTTGCTACAAAATTTAACATCTCTATTTGTTAATGCTACAGGTGGTTCGAAATTGCACAAACGTCATGGGAAGAACTGATAATAAAATCAAGAATTACTGGAGGAGCGCTTTGAAGAAAAAGGCAAAAGTACCTTCAAACCAAATGGAAATCTGAACATTCGCTTTCTAAGAAAGCATCATACGAGCAGAGCAGCAGCAATGTGGGGAGCTCCTAAGGAAAGGCGTAGGCGTACCAGTGGATCGCTGAAGGGAGGGAAACCTCTGCTTCAAAATTTGCCTTCGGTCCAAATTCCGCCATATTCTTTCCATAAATATATATGTATATAAGAAATTGTCGCTATTATATTATATGTATATCAGAAATTGTCGCTTTTTTTTCTGGTAAAATATTTATATTTTTTCAAGATATTCATGCATTCCTTTTCCATACTGTCTCTCTCTCTTTTTTTAGTCCAATGTTGCAAGGTATCGTGAGAGAGAAAAAAAAATCACAAGTATATAGAGGGAAAAATATGACGTGTGGATCAACCAAATTAGCTCGAAAGGGTCAGATTCATCAAGAAAACCCAATAAAAATTATATTTGGGATCGAACTTTAGGCCATAACCAGTCAAAAAATCAACCCAAATTCTCCTTAAGAGACCTACCCATAAAAGGGACATTGTGTCACTCGTTTAGGTATGCAATTCTCCTCCGAGAACAGCTCGTCCAAGTTGTTATGTGGTCGATTTCAGTAGCTCGACGGAACCTCGCATCAATACCTATAATTATTGACTTTTAAAATGGCAATAATTGTTTTATTCACTAAATTTTGTTTGAATTGATATAAAAAATATATATTTTTAATACAACATGTAGAGGTGGGGATCGAACTCATAATCTTTTTGTTTGAGATATATATCAATTAACACTAAGCTACGCTCCATTTGGCCGAGTTGACATAATATTGTATTTCTTAATATATGCTTCCAAATATTATCAAGTCATGATATAAAACTATACGTTCTTTTCTTTTCAGCTCAACTATATGTATTTCATTTTTTTAAGTACTGTATGTACTCACAGCCTTTTAATTGGAGATATATATTTGACAACTATATGTATCTTTTGGACGTTGAAAATATATATATATACACGTATCTTTTGCGGCTGACTGTGAGATGTACTCAGCGTAGTTATCTTTATCTCATAATACATTCTTCGTTTTTTTCTTCTCTTACCGTTGGAAGTCCCAAAAGATGACCCGCCAGTTGGGGATAGTGGGCCATCGGGCCAGGCCCTTTTCCTCATCTCATATGAATTCTTGCGTATTATTGGGTCAGGCCCAAAATCATAGTCCAAAATATAAATTCAGAAATTAAGACTTGATAAGTACGTGATTACCCCTATTTGAGATCCGAATTTCAAAGGTGGTCTATATTGTGAAAAAAAAAATCACTTTTTATCTAGAGTCCCACCATGATGGTTTACATACAAGTATACATTGAATATATGATATATATTATTCATTAAATTTTGCACAATACAGAAAAATCCACCTGACAAATTCTAAGTACATGAACATCTTTCTTACCAAACATAGAAAATAATTATACATCATATAAATAAAATACATGGAAACTAACGTGATATCATCAAACAAAAAATTACAAATACATATATTAATATTTTTTGAATGATAATAATAAGGAACCATACCAATGACATGTGTGGTTAATATTTTTCATATCCAGATATTACAATATTAATATAATTTTCCATATTACATTAAATTAAAATCAAACGCTACATAACAAGTTTTATGCTATCATTAATTAATAAATGTTACAAATTTCCCAAAACGAGCATAGCAACGAAGAGACTGTGAGTTTGAATACCCCTAACATGTTGTACTAATAAATATATATATATATATATATATATATATATATATATATATTACAAATTTAAAATTTAATCATTGATAAATATATTAGCTTGTAAAATACTAAATTATTAGGAAAATATAAATTACAATATTATAATAAATGTAATGGAAGACTATAATCACAACTTACGAGGCATAATCAAGCAGAAAAGAAAAAAGGAAAAAATTGATTGGCTTACTAATTTTAAAACTCAGGAAAAGTAGTTTTCAAAATTTTATTTTTGTTTTTAAATTTGACTAAAAATTCAAATATATTTAGGTAAAAATTTTTCTAATAAAATTATTAAAAATAAAAGAAGCATGACTATTAAATATATAAAATTAGAACAAAATAATTATAAAATGGCACGTGTATTTTTAAAAATATTAGACACAAAATTATTGTTTAAAATCCATTAAATTCAGCAGCAAACGTTATTTAAAAAATTCGACGAACAAACTCATATTTTAACTTAATTTTCGTTAGGAAGAAAAGAAAAGGCCACGTGAATTTTCTATTAACTATTGAGCGTAAGAGTCGTCAAGCATTTTTCAAAGGGAAAGAGAAATGGGTGTCTCTGTTGCGTATTGTCGGAGCACTTTCCAAATTTAATGATTTTGAAGGGTTGATTAAATGGAGACCCACTCAAAAGAAAGAAAAGGGAGAGCACAGCTACCACTACCGGACAATATAGCACAACTCATAACTTTCGTAATTATTTTGACACCAAATAGTGTAAGATCGTAACTACGATAGATTGAGAAGTAGTGACGAAGAAGACGTTTTAAAAAAAAAAAACTCAGGAACAGATTAAGAATTTTACTATAAAAGTAAATAGCTCCAACAACGGGTGCCCACTTATTTATAGTCTAAATATACTTCGTCATAAAGTAAATTCAATTGGTCACAAAATTGTCAACATGCTTACTCACCAGTAATTATCGCATGTCTCTGACTAAGAGACAATGAGTTCGAATCCTCCACCTCTAATTGTTGTATTCATAAATAAAACGTTCACAAAATTGTCACCTTGACCTTAGACAAAAGTTAATAATCTATATTGATATTTACTGGGTTCAATCTTAAAACCAATTGATAATGAAAGTAATCTATTTATATTATAAATTTTTGTTATGTTTCTTATCTTTTTCACGTGGGATTGTTAATAATAGTGGCCACAAATTTTTACCACATTTTGGCTTTTGACAAAGTGCATGTTCTAATGGCCACAAATTTGTCACATCTTGTCTTTGGATGTATGATCTAGTGACTACAAATTTGCCACATCTTAACCTTGAAGAGAGCGCAATAAAATTAAACAAGTCTTATAATTCAAATATCAATTTGGTATTTAGATTTTTCTAATAGGTTAAAATAATATTTTGATTTATGTATTTTAGGACTATTCTATTTTAGTCTCTATATTTTATAGATTAATAACGTTTTCCTTTCTTGTTTCTCATTTTCAATATTTTAAAAATTAAGTTTATTGTTTTGGTTCATGTTCATTTTCACAATACAAATAAATGTATCATTTTATCACTTTAGAATATATATAACATGAATTTAAATTTTTTATTTTTCGCATAAACTTTTTTTTTAATTTAAAATTTTAGAGAATAATATTCAAGAAGTAGTTAACAAAAACATTTCTTTCTTTTTCAAAAAAACAAAACAAAACAACATTGTCAAATACAATTATGTTTTTCTTGATTGCGAAAGACGAAACGAGAAATAACAACATTACTAAACAGGTTCTTAAATGTTCAAATTTAGTCTTTGTAATTTCAATAAATTTGTCAAGAACCGAGGTTCCTGAGTGTCCGGATCAGCCCAAAACGAGTCATCATCACTGGTATGAAGTTAACAAGTATCCAAGACTTTAATGGCTTGATAATGGTTTCAGCTAAAATCACTCACCAATTGACCACTATCCCAATAGAACTAGCGGAAGCCCTAACACTCAAGGTAGACATCAATTTTGCGCATGAAGCAGGAAAATACGTCCAATCTAAGTTGAATCGTCTCCTTGATAGTTCACAATCCTGATCATAATGATGAGATCATTTGAAAATGAAGTTCAAATTAAGATAATGGATGAAATCCAAACCCATATACAAATAGGAGATTTTAAATGAATTCATCTTAACTTTCTTAGTGGCAACAATCTAACTCGTAGTCTCACCGCCCCTACAGAAGAGAGCATTCCTAAACCCAAAGGTCTTAGATGACCTAAAGTGATTGCTAAGACTTTTCCAATTGGTTCATATATTTTAGTTTTACTTTACTCAATAGTCTGTAATTCATGCAATGTAATAACGACAAAGCCTTCATTTTTTTCCCCGAAGAATAACTACAAGCCCTCAATTAAGACATTAAAAACATCATTTATARTTGGAGGTTTCATTCTCATAATTGATATATTTAAAAAGAAAATCGTGCCAACAGTCGTGCCTTAAATTAAATGTCGATGTAGCTACAAAATATCTGATTATGCCATGCGTCAGCCCCGGAAGAAAGCAAAAATATTTATTTTGAGGAATTGACTTAGATTTTGCGCTGTAGGAATCCATGTTACTCAAGGCACAAACAGTCGATGAAGTGGGCCCAACCAACAAGGTGAGTCATGGGTCCCACGCATGATTACTCATACGTGTCACAATTTCCATCCGCCCAACCAACGAGTTCCACGTTGCGTCCTACAGCAAAACTACATTTAGATTTCAGTTTGTCAACCTTGTACGCGTGTCGCCCACTGAATGGCTCGGGAACAATCTCTTTTGATTGGTCGGGTACCGTCACGTGGTGGCTCAATTAAATGTATTACGCCACCGTTGCCAATTAACTTAGCGAATCCGCCACGTGTCCATCCTTGCACGTCACTTTCCATAAATAAATATCGTACATTTAAAATTATTTTTGATTTGTTTATTTATTTCTTGAACTTCTTAGTTCTTTTTCGATCCATCGTATCACCGCCCATGGATGCTCGCATTTCAACGCTTCCAATCAGGAGCTGTTCGACAAGTCGTTTGCACTTCGACCATGTGCCATAGGATGACGTCATGTGGTTACGATGCCACGTGGAATGACGATTGAGGCTTGGACGGTGCCGTTTTTAGTCCATCTTTCTCTTTCGGACGCTCGGACGACGTAGACAAAAGAAAGTGCTTTGGGATTTATGGATTTTTTACGTTCCATCAACTTTGGTCTTCCATTTGTCTGTTATGAGTCTTGTGACATATGAGTCGTAAGTTAAACATAAAGCATTTGAAAAGGAAAATATATACTTTCAAGAATGGGAGAAATTTCACTCATGGCCCAAATTTAATTAATATATATTTAAAAAACCACGCTTCATTATTATGGTTGATTTACTCATCCAAGATAAATTCTAAATAATTTAAAGAAAACAAGTTCAAACTATTCAACTTTGACTTGGCTTGTGTTCTTTTTATTATTATTATTATTATTTTAATTTAGTACCAAAAATATGAGAGTGAGAGAAGTCGACCGGAAAGGAGCAAATACCTTAACCGCTAGATTATG